AGAGGTGAGCCAAACGCCCGATAACAACTGAGCATGACGTTTTTGAAAACAGAGATCCGTTTGAGAGTCATCTCTGGGTCTGACACAAGACCAACCTGAAACGACGGCTCCATGCCAGAGGGAGGTTAACTGCGCAGCCCTTTCGAGTGAACTGTACGGTAAGACTGTCTGGGAAATCTGACTATCAGTAACCAATCCCCATCGTATCTAGTCTAGCACGTCTTTGGCGTGCCAATCCGGCGAATAGCATATGCATCTGATGAATCAGTGGTGGCTGCAATGTTGAAACAACTATCAATCAGGAGAGCATCGCAGTAGCAACTTGGGAGAGTGACGATAGTTTGCTCTCGGGGATATTACAGTTAAGCCATGCCTTGCACCCAACGCATGACAGGACCAGAAAGTGATTTTGCAGCATTTTTTGTCACGTTGTATGCTGCGTGTAATAGGCGGCTTAAGGCTTGTGCGATCCCATTCGCTCCTTTGTGGTGTTTTGGTTTGAAACTTGCGGCCAGCAGGCAGCCATCCATTTCATCCAAGACTCTTGATCCGTACCGGTACATTGACAGGGGGTCGTGAGTTGGCCCACCGGTATGGCCATCCCCCGGGCTGTCAGCTCGACCAAGGCTTTCTGCATCCCCATTCTGCTTGTGTTTGGGAAGACTCGAATTACTAGTATTAAACAAAGATTAATTTTATTCGTAGAGGGAATATAATTCTGCTTCGCCTCACTACTGCCTGCCTACTAACCTGCCTACCGATACCTAGGCATGCATGCACGCGGTCACCCGCTTCAACAATGGACTGGAAACCGTTGCTATTCACACCCCTCTAGGTAACACGGAAGAGGGGTAGCTGAGCTCTATAGATTCCAGGATGCCTTGTCTGGCATTTTTTATCTTGTCAACCATCAATCCTCTTTCTTGATGTGCATCGTCTGACCATTGCATCCCAGAGAGCCAATCCTTCAGAGCATCTTCAGCCATCTACAGTGCCTATCCGCTGGAGCTGGTCCTGCCGTTGCATTGCACCTGCCACCCCGCATCCATGGCCATGAGCTGGACGGAGTAGGTAATCACCCTCAATAATCTACCTTACCCGCCATCCACCAACCGCAGTCGACTTCTTTACTTCTTCCCAATGGCCGACTCGGAGAAGAATCCTGAGTCTGCTCCTTCCCTGCCTCCTAAAGAGCCCCCCCAGCTAGAGAAGCCCGAGGCCGTTACGGGAGCAGGTGACGAATCACAGACCAAACCGGAGCTCTCATCCACAGCTGCAGACAGCGACATGTCTCCAAAAGGCGACCACGTACGGGGAGAAAAGAGCAAGGCTCGCAGTGAAGGAACTCGGTCCTACAGCGCCGTTGTCTCTGGGGAGTCAGACCAGAAGGAGAACCAGAACTTGTCCAAGTCCAAGGACAAGGTTGATGTGCCCATCAAAATGGACATGGACATCAAGGGTGACCATGCCGACTCAGATGCCATGGATTTGGATGGTTCTAAGACGACCATGGAGAGTTGGGACGATGCCCCTGCCTACCAGGCGCCGCCCGCTGCCAGAACCACAGGCCTGCCACCGATGGCTGAGGAGTTCGAAACACCAGACGAATTTTCCGGCTTTGACAGCTCCAGCTTTTCTCGCCGCAAGGAAGACGCCAAAACACAAGAGGAAATTGCTCGTCTGCGCCGCCACGTCAACGATCTTCACCGAAAGCTTAGCAACATCACCACGGACAAGCAGATCGCTGAGGAGAAGGCCGAGCGCTTGGCCGATAGAGTCAACTCCCTGAAGCAGAGAATGAGCTCCAACATGACTGAGGTGGAGCGCAGCAGTGAGACGTTGGCTGCTAAGGTGGAAGAGCTCACCGATGAGAACAACCTCCTGAGAGAGCAGCTCAACGATGCGCAGTCTCACATCTTTAGCCTCCAGCCCTATCGCAAGGATTTGACACCAGAGGAGGTCGGGCAGGTACGGATATTGGCTTCTATCGAGGTTGGAACTTGCTGACATCTTGCTCTAGGATTACGAAACCCTCGTTGAGCAAGTTCAAGACTGGGTTCAGAAGTTCATGGACCCCTGGCTGGAGGATCACAAGGAAGGCATCGATACCCTAATGTCCGTCTCTAGAAAGCGAACTCCGGAAGCCAACAAGTTCAAGAGGGTTTTGCACCAATACCCCGATCTGGTCCATGCTTCTTTCTTCCCTGAGACGGACGAAGATATCCTCGCATCCATGATTCTGCGATATCTTCACGACAACATCTTCCAGACCGTCTTGTATGGCGCCATCCACAACTATGTCGAGGTGGTGAGCTTTATCGAGAACAACATGCAGGTGGCGGTTGAGCCCAAACGAGGTATGAACTGCCCATAATATCAATGCTAGAGCTGGACTGATGTATGCCGCCCTTAGACCTCTTCTCTGTGCGATCTTGGACGGCCGAGGCCTATAATGCCCTCCTCAGTGCGCCTCCGTTCAGATCGGTCCGTGATAGGCGACGCAAAGAGATGACGGTAGAACTGGCAGACATCTTCAAAATTTTCGTTAAGAAGGACAAATGGCAGTGGTTCTGCGAGAACTTGAGCGACCGGTGTGTGGGCCCAGCGATGAAGCTCTACGAGAAGATGCAGGTTTCGACACACCACTTCTATCTCGACATCAACCCGTACATCGTGTGGGCTGGAGGAGAGCTCAGCGCCTCGCCTGAGTTTATCGAATCGGTCCCGAAGCTCGATTGCCAGAACATCCTCAAGAACCGGAAAGCATTCAGTCTGGACAAGCTGGACACGCCACCATCCAAGAAGGAGCTATACCACAGACTGCTCAATGTCTGCACCATTGCACCAGCGCTCTACATGCGTCAAATTGGACAGAGAGATGCTATCAAGGAGCCGATGGTGGTGCGGAAGCAGCAGATGCTTGTGGCCTGGGGACCAGAGGAGAAGCGACGGGCATATCGGGAGAATGGTGACCAGACTCTGGTGTCGCACCTCTATTCTTCTAAGAGCCTGGGAGAAGGATGGGCACCGTTTTGGAAGTAATGGTCTTTGACAGGTTTTGAGCGATTGTCACTGGGAGACGAGGTGAGGAATTTCCGCAAGGTTTTTCTACATAGGCCTCTGGAGAGGGAGCCTAAGATATGATTGCAGCATTTCGAGAGCCTAGATGGCCGAGAAACGTGGCCCGGTTTTGTTTTTGAGAATTAGAGAATACCAGCTTGGAGGATAGTGTGGACAGAAGAATTGATGCTGCTGCTTTTGATCTGTGGACATCTCAACCTTGGTATTCTGAATGATGGCTCTAGTACGTTCTCGTTGATCGAATCTCTCCTGCATGATACTGAGAATCTCATGACGAGACGTTCACGCTCTTGTAGACGAAGTTGTCCCAATATACTATTGTACAGCACACTGCGTGTTTTCAGGCTCCAATTTCGGCTTGCGAAACTTAGAGAAGTACTTATTCCATAGGCTCATCTGCTTCCTCTCCAGACTTGCCTTTTCGGCCTGCCACTTCTCTTGGGTTTCTCTAGTCTTTTTGGCACAAATCCCCTTCATCTCTCCTTCTTCCATAACGAATATAGTGGTGTTCCCCCCAAGTCCTATCCACTTCTCGTCTCGGACAGCATAGGCATAGCCAGGCTCGATCAGCGCGCCCTGGCAATCAATGATCAAAACGCCACGGAGTAGAAACACCAGACAATTACTGAGGCAGTGGAAACTGAACTTCCAATCAAGAGCTCTAGAAGGCCAATTTGGAGAGCGGGTGGCGGCGAAATGGATCTCGTAGGCTGGTTCTGGTCGTTGAAACTGAATGACTGTCAATATTACACTTCTTGCGGTTCCTATGCAAGCAGACCTCTTCCTTTAGAGCGAGCGCTACGGTTTTGTAGTCCTCTGGATCGAAAGCGTCCCAGAAATCTCTCCCCCGTGGGCCTATAATTTTTTGTGTAGCCGGCATATCTGATGAATGGCAGAGTATCAATAAGAGAACTGCTGCATACCAAGAAATGCGATTTGCTTCTAGACTTCAAAGTCAAGAAGGAGAAATCATCGGGAGAGGGTTTGCTTGCCAATAAATAGCCTCAGCGGCCGATTAGCTATAGGAGGCGGGCAATCGGCAGTGATTGGCCCGGATACCCTTACCTGACATCCCTCTTGGCGATTGCCACATCAACTCGCATTGGGGTCTCTTTGGTAGGGGAGATCGGCCTCTATCCGCACTATCTGTGGCTTCCCTAGGTATTAATAGTGTCTTTGATTTGCAACAAAACGGCTTTGAAGGTGGTATCTATCGTTTCAGGTCGAGTCCCATGTTTGGCCGCGGCTGTGTAAGGTAGGTAGTGGTCCAGAGGGATGATTCCGCATGTACCGGTACTTTGAATGGGGGTGTGGATGCAAGCCCCCAGGCGCAGCAGAAGCTGAACAAGACTCCCCCCTCTCAAGGCGGGCGGATAGTTTGCGAGCCAACACAAAAGTCTTGGAGTGCGCCGCAAAATCAGCCCAGCGGGGTAAGGCATCTCGGTTTTGCCAAGTTGAGCGACGGGCAGGGGGCCTGGTACATTGAGCTTGGAGGTTTGTCCTTGAAGCTCCAGAGGCTGATCGTGCCTTGAGACACACGACCTGAGCTAAACAAAGTCCTATCATCACCTGGTAAGAGCTCAAGGCTACCTCAGGCAGCTACCGACCTGCCAACCCTCTCTCACCACATCTTGAGCCGAATTGTTCAATTCATCAACTTTCACCTGCATCAATGGTTACGGCTGCCGCCATGCTGATCAATCGCAACGTTCTGGGATGTACTGATTGATTGACATTGATCTCTGCTTGTACCCGTCACTGCTGCTCTACTGCATATGTCCCAGCACTCATCGCCCCTCACTTCATCTGCACTCACCCGTTCACCCTTTCATACTTTCATCTCCTGGTGCCATCATCAAACAGCGGAGAATAGGCGCCCATTTGAAACGGTAGCTCAATCAAGACATGCTGCGCTCTTTCAAAAATAGGGCATCTGGCGTTTTCCGCAAGAAGAAGGCCGCAGACACGGAGCCTGTACCGGACCTGCCTGTTCCACCTTCACCTGCCGACACTTCTACTTCAGCGCCTGGTCCGGCTCGCTATATCCCACCTCCACCTTTACCTCCTCCATACTCACAACCATCAACATCGCTCTATACTCCTTCTACTGCCTCAACGCGACCTGAACAAAATCAACAGGAGCGAGAGCAAGAACAGGAACAAGGGCAGGAACAACAGCCCCAAGACGACCAACAACAAGACCAGCTATTGGATCAAGCTCCCGCGCCTCAACAACCAGCGCCAGACACTGCGGCGCCGGATCCCTTCGCGCCTAAATACGTCCCCTATATCGAGGCAACTCCACTCAAGAACAACATGCTCGCCGGGACAGCAGGAAGATATGGGCGGGTGAACCCTGATATCATGGGTGGCTTCGGTGATGACGATGACTCCATCTGGCTTGTGGATGACGAGGAGTCGGACGAGGAGCAGCGCCGAGAGCAGCGCAACAGTCAAGCCCGATCTTCTAATTCTCTACGCACCCCTTCACGGCCAGTCTCGCGACGTTCTAATGCTTCTTCTTCGCGTACACCAGCAACAACACAAACCCTGGACTCGGGTCCTGCCCCTCCGGGTTCTTCTTTTAGACCGGGTTTCCGCTATCATGTGCCCTCTCTACTCGACGACGACGAGTTCACCTCGGGCACTCTCTCAAGTACTGCCGCAACACCTGAAACACTGCCTACTCAGGAAACCTCCCCTGCGCCAAGACGGGGCTACGGTCCTGTGGCAGCATCAATCCTTAACCTCACTGATCTCGGTGTCGACGCCGACGACATCCATGAGCCTCCATCAAAGAGACGAAACATCACACCCCTCCCTGCTCGACCTGCGGCTGCGGCTGCGTCTTCCTCTTCTTCTTCTTTAGTTAATCCGTACGTTGCCCGGTTTCAGCAGCCGGATGATGCCAAGGCAACGGCATCTCTCCGCCAGCTGGATCAGTCTGCGGATGACGTCGCTGATGATTTCAGGTAGGTCTCGCGAAGATTCCCCCCTCCCTTCGATGCCGCCAATGCCAGGAGCCTTCTAGTTGATGGCTTCTTGGCTGTTTTGTGCCATTCGTTGCGTCATGAGTTATGTTATCTGTTATGCAGTCTTCGCCGTCGTTATTTTGTTATTCTCTTGGTTGCTCTATACCACATTCTGTCTTGAATTTTACTAAGAAATTGTACTATTTACAGCTTTGGCCAGCGATATCAGAAAGCCCCCGACTCACCTGATGTGATTGTCACCCACCAGCGGATACCAGCAGAGGCGAGCACCCGTGAAGTAGAGTGCGTGGTTTGTACAGAGACTAAGGGAGCTAATGCCTTCCCTCGTTTCTCGATAACATCGTCATGTACCCACCCTCCGAGCACATGCCTTGATTGTATTCAGCTGTCCATTGAGTCGGATCTGAGTAGCAAGCTCTGGACCGAGATCAGGTGTCCTGAATGCCGTGAACTACTAGAATATGCCGACATACAGAGATATGCCAATAACCAGACGTTTACGAGGTACGTCAAGGAACACCTATATAGTGCTGGACAATACTGACATGAACTAGATATGAGACCCTGGCTCTTCGGGCTGCCATGTCGGAAGCTGAAAACTTTATATGGTGCACTTCTGGCTGTGGCTCCGGTCAGATCCACGACTCGGGCTCTGAGCAGCCAATTGTTACTTGTCTTCACTGTGGCCATCGCTCATGTTTCCATCACAATGTTGCGTGGCACCAGACTTTGAGTTGCGACGAATATGACCAACTCCTCGCCGACCCTGAAAACTTTCGCTCTAACCTCGAGATCGAGAACGAGAAATGGTCGGAGGCCCAGCGAGCTCAGTTGGAAGCTGATAGAGCTATGGCACAGGGGCTACTGGCTGAGGATCAAGCTGAGCGAAGGCGCCAGGAAGAGAGAGAACGACAGGAGAGGGAGCAAGCTCAAAAGGCAGCCAAGCTAGCACGCCAGATTGCCGCTAGAAGGAAGCGGGAGGAGGAACAGAGCCGGGCTACCGTGAGCCAAACGACGAAGCCTTGCCCCGGGTGCGGGTGGGCTATCGAGAAGAACAGAGGCTGGTATGTACAACCTTGTGCTACTCCTATGGACAGATGTGCTAACCTAGTGGCAGTTCGCATATGACTTGTAAGTTGTCCCCCGTTGTCCTTTTCCTCCTCGTTGCCCCCCTGAGGCTCAACCCTGCCCTTGATGGTGCGTTGGCGCGAGACTCGTCTCTCGTTTCTACCCTTGGATGCTAAACAACTATCATAGGCATCAAGTGCCGTTTTGAATTCTGCTGGGCCTGCGACCAGACCTGGGACCGCAGACACAACAACTACTGCACTGGCGGCGCCTGATCTGAAACTTGACGCACACATGACGGCGGTTCAGTAACTGACCCTTACAGGCATCAAGTGTAAACACGAATTCTGCTTCGAGTGCGGCGCGAACCATCGCGAGATTATGAAGAATGACAATAGCGTCCACAAGCGCACATGTCGCTACCATCCAGATAACCTTGAGGACTATGAAGGCGAAGACTCGGAATGAATGGGAAATGAAAGTGGGGGACACAGGATGGTGTATGATATTGGATCAGATTTGCCCCGAGATACCCTTCAGGCAGGATGGAGTTAGCGACATGATACAATATTTACCAGGCCACCATCGTGGAAGCCAAACCCTAACATTGCATCAGAGTGATTAAGAGTAGAGGTGACCTGGATTTCAAGCATGACCCCTAAATCCTTCATTCGCCTCGGCAATAGATTAAAGTGCCATAGAGTACATTGATCCCTACCAGAGATGTAACCAAACCCATGTCAATGCTAATCACAGCTCCAAATGAAAATACTACTTCAGATAGATAACCACCCCTGGGTATTCACAACCATGTTCGCTACATCGACCTCCACGCAAGCCTACACTCCTCAAGCAGCGGTCAACTCGGCGATCCGTCGTTCCAGCTCGGGCACCTGCCGCAGCCGGACCTCGAGCTCCTCACGTTCATCTTCGAGCTTGAGGCGTCGCTCAGCGTCGAGTCGAGTAAAGACGTAGTTGCCCTGTCCATCGAACTGGAGGATGTGCGAATGGTACTTCCACAGGCTGCGACGATGGCTCACCGTCATGAGTGTGACGCCAAGGGCCTTTGCCGTGTCGTACATGGCCTTTTCCGTTTCGAGGGTAACGCTGCTCGTGCACTCGTCGAGGATGGCGTACTTGGGGCGATGGTAGAACAGGCGAGCCATGGCCACGCGCTGCTGGAGACCACCCGAGAGCACATCGCGCCACTCCGCCTCGGCATCCCAGCCCTCGTCGTACATCTCGGGAAGATGCTCGAGGCCGAGCGTCTTGAGGTAACCGAGGAGATCTGCATCAGTGACACCGCGGGCGCGCATCTGGCGGAGAGAGTCGGGGTAGATGATTTGCTGGCGAAGGGAGCCTCGGGAGAGGTAGGGTCGCTGGGGGATGTAGAAGATGGCGTGGAACGGTGGCTTATATACGGTGCCTCCGTAGACAGGCCAGAGTCCGCCCAGAATGCGGAAGAGAGATGACTTGCCGCAGCCGTTGGGACCGACGACAAGGAGGTGGTCTCCATGCTTGAGGGTGAAGGACAATGCCTTGACCAGCACGTCGCCATTGGGAGAGATGATGGGTCTGTTGAGGTTGAATGTTAGCTGTATTCAAGCAGCACTAGGTTCCTTCCACTTACACATCGATAAAGGTTATATCTTCGCTCTCGTGGACGGTTCCCCGTCCTTTGAGGACAGCCTCGTTACCCTCTGTGCCCGAAGAGGACACCAACTTCTTCTCAAAGTGTCCGGACTGGACATCATCCATAACATCGAGCAAGGTTGCAACTCTCGATGTATATCCTGCCAACTCCATCACTTCCCTGTATGAGAACATAATGCGTCCAAAGGCGTCCGATGCAGAGAGCAGCATTCGTCTGTTGGTGACGAATGCCTCTGTTCGGTCACCCATGTTCATTGCGACATGGCCAGGCATCTTGATAAAGACAGGGACACTGCAGAGCAGGAGACCGAGAGCGCCCCAGAAGTACTTGATGACAAAATCCTCCATGAAACCATGGTAGAACCGCCTCCGTAGAATGTAGTTGACGTGCTTGATGAGGGTGAAGTAGCCCTTGTCTAAAGTGTCCTTCTCAGCGGCGTGACCACCGTATAAGGCGATTTCTTCGCTATAGTCAATGAGGCGCGAATGTTGGAAGCGGAACTCGCCCTCCAGTCTGGCTTCATCAGCGACATACTTTCCAAATGGTGGAGTTAGCGCTCTCATGACGTTGGCTGAGAGTTGAACGAGGAGTGACATGAAGACAACGCCCTCTCCACCAACGCTCTTGGAGAGAGAGTAGGTGTATATAGTCTAAATATGGTAAGCAAGAGGCATATCAATCATGTATCGGGGAAATTACCATATCGAGCATGGGTTTGGCAAGATTGCTATACAGCTCAGCCAAACTATTCGAGAACTTGGACACATCGACTGCGATCAACTGATCGGGGTTCTTTATTCGGTCGTCCAAAGCCGATATACCATAAAAGGTCAAGTTGGAGAGGTATTTATCGTGGATAAACTGTGTAAGCCGCGTTCGGTACTTGAGAGATAGCTCGGCTTGGTGATAGGATAGCTGCGAAGCGTTTAGTATATGACCCAGCAATAAGTCGGGATCATCTCACCATGGAATTCGTAAAGGTAGCAGGTACAGCGATCAGCATCCACCATACTATGCGCTTCAAGAATTCCTTTCCGTTGCCCTTCACCAGGGCCTTGACGATAGCGCCATCCATCTCGGCGACGCGCAAACTGATCAGAGTCCTCAGGACCAGGAAGAAGCTATGGCTCATCAACAGCCTAGCTTCCTTGCTGCGCCATCCGGGGACGACAATCTTGAGAAGCCGTAATAGCGAACGGAAAAACTCGCGGTTCAGCTCGACCTTCTTTCGCGGTGTCTCTTCGCTGCCGCTCGACGTGGTACCGCGACGGGCTGCGCGCTGGGCGGCTTCACGCGCCGAGGCAGCCTTTTGCTCGGAAATAGCATTGCGGATACGGTTGGCGAGGGCGATGAAGAGGGTTATCCACACGGCGCGGGAGATGCGAGTGCGGTTGGAGACGTAGAGGCCAGTCAGCCGGGAGATGAGGCCGCGGAGAGTGCGATCGCCCGGCAGCGCGAGCTTCGACTGGGACGCCATGATGGGCGCGTTGTAGAGTTAATACTCTACGGCCCGTAGGATGCAAGTGTCGCGCGTGTTGAAACTTCTGAAAGATACTCGAGAAGATCCAGACTTTGCAAAGTCGTCGAGGCTGTGAGGGGAGACAAGGCGAATCGAATCGACGTCACGTCACAAGCCTACCGAGGCCAGCGCGGCGCATTAGGAAATCGGATCCCGATTCGGCAACTCTGAAGATGAGGATGAAGACGTGACACGACGAGAATCTACAACTTGATATCAAAAAGAAGAGAACAAGTCAAATGTTGAAAAAGTTAAAGGGAAAAAGAATACATGGATTGGAAATGGCCATGTGGTGGTGTTCCATGCAGAAGCTCCCTCGGCCGATGAGTCTGGGGCAAGTGCAATGAACCCGTTCTCCCCACACTTTCACACGCTGCGTTCGGCATGTGATTGCCATTAGAGTGGGGGAAAACCAGCCACAGAGCATGCCACCCCGGAAAAAGCACCAGCCACACTTAACAGCAGCCACATTCCGCGGGGGGTAAATGAATTTTTGGTTGTCGTCGCATCGCGGGGCAACTTTTTGCTCTCATGATCAAACAATTTCTGACAAGATTTTCCTCTCACGCTTAAACTCCAACGAAACCGCCCAAAATGTCCGACGACGAGAACATTTCCGTCTACGATGAGATCGAGATCGAGGACATGACCTTTGACGAGGCTCTCGGTGTCTACAACTACCCTTGCCCTTGCGGCGACAAGTTTCAGATCGCCCTCGACGACTTGCTGGACGAGCAGGACATTGCCGTGTGTCCCAGCTGCAGCCTCATGATCCGCGTCATCTTTGACTTGGTATGTCGGACCGATCTCTCACGCTACATTCTTATGTCTGACTTCTTTTTTTTTTTTTTTTCAGGATGACCTACCAAAGCCTCCTACTTCGGGTCCCTCGGGCGGCCAGATCCCCATTGCCGCCTAAAACTGTCCCACGATCATGACAAATACCAAGCGCCGAGCCCTTCTCTCCGAGGTTTTCTATTTCGGTCCTCACAAAGATTCAGGTCTGAGAATAGTGGCACGCGGCTGCAAGTGCAGCAAGGAATAAGCCTGCGCCGCCGCTTATATGGACCACATCTGCCCGGACCTCCCGCAGGCAATGCCGACAGGACGAGGAGTCACCAGGCACTCGCGTCACCCCCTAGGTTTATACAGACCCTGGATGAGGGTCGCCGATCAGGAAGAAATAGTTCAGAGATCAAGGCTTCAGAGCATGTTCGGTTCAATATATCAACTGGATAGGACGACCAGGACCAATCGTCTCGGACAAGTCAAAACAGAACACTCCCCGGCTACAACAGCGCCGGTCGCGATCAGACATTTTTACCAATGTTCGACCCTCACGGAAGATATGGAGACAGCCCGCCTATCTCAACAACATCCAAATGTTCGGCTGTAGGCGATATACCATGAGTCAAAAGGGGAACTAGACATGTCACAATCACATTCACAGGCCAAGTCCCTGCCGAGATTGGTATTGACAATTAGTATTAAATATGTCAGAAGCGATCTCGCTTCATTGATCTATCTAGTCTAGCCCGGACGATCGTGTTCCCGGTCTAAATCCAATCGAAAGTTATGCGCGCACCAGCACGTCTAGGGACGGAATCCAACCAATTGTCCCATATCCGTATCCAGATCCATATACATGCCTGCCACCCTTTGACAAGTTTCCAAGATTTACAGGGCAAGGACGGCGGCGACAGCACCGACAACACCGGCGAGACCGGCGTGGGCACCGAAGGAGACGGCACCGTTGGGGCTGGGGACACCGTCGGTGCCAGTGGGAGAAGAGCCGGAGCCAGTAGTGGTGCCGTTGGTGTGAGCTGTTTGCTTGTGTTAGTGGTCGTGATCTATATCGTGGTGTTCGGAAGGGTTGGACTAACGACCAGGGGTGGCAATGGGGCCAGGAGTGCCGACAGGAGTCTGAGCAGCAGCCGCAACAGCGACGAGAGCGAAGATGGGAGCGAAACGCATGTTGAGGGTTGAAGAGTTGTTTAAAGAAAACGGATTCGGTCTTGCTCGGTTGTTCGAAAACGAAAGACTCTGTTGGATAACGACTGTGGTTGTTCAGATGGGTTGTTTGTTTGATTGAGGAATGAATGAGCCAGATGGGAGGAACTCTGGACTCCTATATACCTCGCAAGCTCACAAGGATATGGATCGGGCTCTGGGTATGTCGAGAGTATCCGTAGGTAGGTACTTTGCATGATACCAGCCCCAGGGGGCGGTTGCATCATCCCAACCGCAAGCCACCCACTATTTCAACCCTCTTCCCGGGGCCTCAAGATGGAAGTTGGACCGGTGGACTCCACTTGTTTTCATTCTGGCAATGCAATACTGTACAGTACAGTGTGCGTGTAGTGTAGTGGGTGAGTGTGCAGTACACTTTCGAGCCGTGCCAGCCGCGTCAAAATGCAAATGGGCCAGCCACGGATGCCTCACATTAACCAACAAAACAGCCGCCTTACAACACACCCCAGCCTCGCCAACATGTAGGCCGCATCAATGGCGCTGCTGTTGCTAGACCAACCGGAGAACTAACCAGCCGCCATGCAGGAGAAAAGGCTTCACCGTACTGCAAGCACAACAAAGCTGTTGCCGCTTGCTGCAACTGCAACTGTACCTGGACGGACGAGAAAAACAAGGTTGAGCCGTCGTGCCAGGCCAACAAGAAGTCGACCCCAAACCTTGCGTCATGGGGACCACTTTGTCGACATGGCTTGGCCTCGGTGTGTGGGTGGCAATGGCTATGGTTCATTCTAGTGGAGGCGGGATGCGTTCTTTGCTTGCGCAAGCTTCCCTGACTAAGGAGGGACCCCAAAGTTTCTAAACATGGAAAAAAACACAACTGGGTCGAAATTCCCTCTTTTTCCAACGCAAATAGCGGTTGCCATCCCTGAAAATCCCCTAATAACTTGATTCAATGTAGTTACATACACTGTGAAATCTAGGGAAAACTAGGGTCCCCGATAAGTGGACTCCTCTCGCTTCTAAACCCATGGCGTTCGGGGCTATTGCAGATCCTCTTTTTCTTCCATAATCTATGGTTCTGACGCGCAAGCCAGAAAATTCAGGGATTCCAAAGGCGATCGGCTTCCCAAAGACGGAAAGTTGTAAAAAAAAGCCATGGTCCAGCCACGGTGTGAACCTTGCAGCACGGGCGAGCGGTTCAAGGGGGGGTGTAGTACTTAACATGAAAGATACACCCTTTCATTGTTCTGAACGGTAAATGGGGGGTCGGGCCCACAAAGAGGTCGACATTGCGCGTAAAGGGGATCAAGATTCTTTTTATCTGAGGCAATGGTTGGATGACCAGACCAAGGAAAGGTCGGGTCGTTGTTTATTACCCACAGACCACACAACAAAACAACTCGCTGCCGGTAGTGCTTGTGCTCTCTGATGTGATGTGGACTCTTCATGGATGTTTGATATTGGTTTATGTACTCCGTATGGCTAAATGGATTCCTTCCCCGGCAACAGAGTAGAGTGAGTACTACGTACTATGTACAATGTGGACATTCCATGTTACAGAACTGAGACGCCCCCTGATCAGAGCTTTTCAACCTCCTTGATTTTATTACTCTCAACTACAGTATCCGTACATACAGTACAGAGATATCCCTGATTTGATTTGATTCCTTCTTCATGCACACGTAACCCTTGATCTCGTCTTTTTGCATCTCTTCATCAATACTTGCTCAACTCCAACCAACCCCCATCTTCCACATCCCGATACTTACAAGGGTCTCCTACATAACACGGGGTTTCCAGCAGCAATGGCACATGCACATGCAACGCACGTACAATACAAGCGCCGCAAAAGGAGAAGAGAGTAAAAAAAACAAGCCTTTCTCTAGCATGCCTGATCGGCACTTTTTTTTTTAGATCCCGATCCACTCACACGTAACCCTTCCATTGTTTATCACGTAGCAGCCACTGTATGTCTAACATTGTTTTAACGGGGAACCGACCCTTCTTCCGCTCCGCTCTCTGATGCATCATCCTTCTCAGGCCTCCACGTTCTCAAAGAAGAAGGTTGGCACGCCAGGAACTGCATTCTCGGCCACCGGCACAGAAATCTCCACCTCCTTTCCGTCCGCCAGGTTGACGCCCTTCTTGCCTCCCTCCTCCACCGACAGGATGTCGCATGCAACGAGGCCGCCCGTTCGCTTCAGTCCAGCCACCATCTGCAGCAGTGTCTCCTTTTCGTCAAACGCCAGCTTCTGCTCAAGCACTGCGCTGGCAGGCTCACCCGCCTGGAGACGCCTCTTCAGGTTCTGCACAAACGGCATAGCCTTCTTCATCTCTCCCATCTTGCCAATCTTGCCGTTCAGCTGCTTGTCGTTGACCGACTTGGTCTCAGGATCCCACATCTCCTTGAGCAGGTCAATGTACTTAGCCTGCCACGCGGGGAACTTATCCGTCACAAAGACGGTCAGCTTCTTGGGCTTCTTAGGGTCAAATGATGTCTCCTTGCCCTTGGCCTTCTTCTTCAGCTGCAGTCCCTCCGCAGAGTTGACACTTGAGGCAGTGTTTCGAACGTAGTCTCGCTTCGCTGACAGAGCCGCATCCACCTCACCCACCTCAGGGAAACGTGCGTTGTGGATGGTGCCCTCCTTCTTAAGGACCTCGAGCCAGATGTACTCCGACCAGTGAGGAGCGATGACAGCCAGCAGGAGAGCCTGCACCTCGATATACCGGAGGACGAGGTCCTTGTGCATCTTGAGATTGGCAGCCGCACACGACTCACGGTAAAAGTCACGAGCACTCGTCAGCTCGTACAGGCCAGCCTTGAGCGCCAGCTTGTAGTTGGTGTTGGCGAACTGCTCCACGGCTTCCTTGGTAATAGCATTCAGGTCATTGCTGAAGAGAGCGTCCTGAAACGAGTTGATCTCGCCGCTGCGAAGCTCGTCCTGGTTCTGCACCATCTCCTCGCACCACTCCTTCAGAGTAAACAGTCGCAGAATGTTGTTATCGGCGACATCCTCCTCAAAGTTGGCATCTGTGACACCATCGCCAGCGTCCGCCAGCGCAATACGGGACGCGTCGGCACCGTACTTGAGGGTCAGGTCACGGAGGGTCATGAAGTTGCCGGTACTCTTGCTCATCTTCTCACCGTTCAGCATCAGATGGCCGTTGGCACGCACACCTCGGGGCCAGTACTCCGGTGGGAAGATGGCCAGATGCACATAGAGGAAGAAGGTAAGATGGTTGGGGATGAGATCCTTTCCGGATACTCGCACATCGAGAGGGTAAAAGTACTCAAACTCGCGGCGCATGCTCTCCAGAGTCTCCTTGGGGATCTTGCTGCTGCTCAGTATGTCGTCGCTGAGTTCACGGCGGCAGAAGAGGTAGTCCCAGACCTCGTCGGTCATCTGCTCAGGGCCAATGTTACCCTTGCCCTTTGTTCGGCCGAAGAGATCATTGTGGAGATAGTGTGCGATGGTGTAGTAAGCCATGTAGACGGTCGAGTCACTCAGACTCTCGACCAGGAACTGAGGGTCCCAGGGCAGCTTAGAGCCCAGGCCGAAGCTACGGGCGCACGCCCACTGGTTCAGCCAGTTCAGCACACTTTCGAAACCGTTCTTGGTCTCGGGGGTATAAGTCTCCAGGCCCTTGCCGTCGGTATTGTCAACCCACTTGAGGGCCGTCTGCTTCCACGCCTCCTCACCGTAGTCAAGGTACCACTGGTCCATAAGAGCAACAATGCAGTCGTCACCAGATCGGCTAACAACCTTGCGCTCGGGCTCGGAGTAGGCAAAGGCCTCACCGGCGTCAATCAATTGCGTCCGGACCTTGGGCTTGGCAATCTCAACCTTCTCTCCCTTGAAGTCACCGACCTTCAAGGTACCCTGGTAAAAGCCCTCCTTGTACGCAAGTTCCTTGGCTTCCTCAAGCTGCTTGGTGTCCTTGGGAGACGCAATCTTGAGCTTCTTGACCAGGAAAGGAGCGCACAGATCGCCGTAAGTAGGAGTGTCAATGATGGGGAAGATTTCCAGCTCAGCCCACTCCTTCTGGATGCCGTAGTAATCAGCCTTCTTGGCCAGGTCCGTCACAGTAGCAAAGTCGTCAGGGCTGTCGGAAGGCACCGAGGTGACAACACCAGTACCCTTTGTGGGAAGAACTGTCTCCATGGGCAGAACGCGCACACCTTCCTTGTGCAGGGAGAGAGGAGCATGGATCAGACTGCCCACGATGTCAGAGCCGACGATCTCTGCAGCCTTCTCGATGACACCCTCGGTAGCAAAGATGCCCTGGTAAGCCATGTTGCGCGCAGCTCGGTCGGTCACAACGTAGTAGTCGGTCTCGTTGGCCTTGAAGACACCGTAGGTGATCTTGGGACCGACGAAACAGCAGGTCTGGCCGTACATGGTCTCGGGACGCAGAGTCGCGGGAACAAGGTAGACGTTGGATCCCTCGGGGAGCTTACCCTTGAGAGTCTCGGCGGCCTTGGGAGCCCATTCCAGGACCTTGAGCTTGAGAGCAGTGTACTCCTGAGGACCGACGGCCTCACCCTCGGCTCGGTCGTGGTCCATACAAGGCTGGCCATCCTTGATCGAGTAGATGGTGTATCGCTTGCCAAACTTGATCTTGTCGAGCTCCTTCAGACGGTTCATCTGCCATCGGACAAAGGCATCGTAGTAAGGGTTGGCATCGGTGGTGACGAAGGATCGGCGCCAGTCGATACGGCAACCAAAGTTGGTCAGGTCTCGGATGGCCAGGGGAGGGAAGAACTCGAGCCAGTACTGAGGGTCGGCAAACAGGTGAATCTCCTCGGTAGGGATGCCGATCGCCTGCATGATCTGGAACTGGTACTTCATCTTGACGGTCTTGGCCGCGGCCTTGCCCTTCTTAGCAGTGAACTTGGTCACATCCTCCTTGGTCTGCTTGGCAGCAGGAGCCTTCTCCTCCACGACAGACTCCTCCTCCTTGTAGCCCTGGAAGTCTCGACCGAAGAGCTTGATCTCGTTGACCAGCTTATCGGCACAGGCCTTGATGGGCATGCCTGTGCAGTGGAATCCCATGGGGAACAGGGCGCGCTTGCCCTGCATTCTGGCGACACCAGCAGCGAACTCGACCTTGCTGACGGAGAACGAGTGGCCGGCGTGCAGGGTGCCGTTCATGTAGGGGTAGGCCATACATCCGAAGAACTTGGGCTGCTGCTCACGCAGCTCGGCGGCGGAGATGGAGTGGAGGGGGATCTCGTCGGTCGAGGGAGCATCGGGCTGGAAGACACGGTCCTGCTGCCATTTCTCCTGATATTTCTTTTCGATAGCAATCAGAGAGTCTCGCTTCTCAGTCTGCTAGTAGTCAGAATAGTCATTTCATCACATTTCAAAGAATTGGACCTGCACCTTTGAGTTCCTTGGTTTTGGAGATGGTCAGAGCCTCCATGGCTTTCGGGACGGAGTCTGTTGAAGCCATCGTCGGATATCGACAAGACCTACGACGTAACAAAATTGATCCTGTCAGTCTCTTTCTCTCGGGAAAGAAAAATCAGCGGCAGATTGGAATTTACACACCTCGAAATCTCACTTGGAAATTTTCTGAGTCACGGTTTGTAAGGGAACGAAATCGGGCCTTGGTGAAGGAGGGGTGAAAATCGCGGGGCAGAAGCAACGGGCGCACAGCGCTAAGTGGCTAGTGCGTGGGCTGTTGTGGCTGTGCAGTGGCGTTCTCGCCTTTCGTCACTTTTCGGAACCTCGAATCGCAACACCATCACCAAGAGTCGATTCTACTTTGTGCCATTGAGCAGTCGGTGTCGCAAGCAGCTCAATCGTCATGTTTTCAACGACACTCAGGCGCATGGCCGCTTCGTCAAAGGAGACCCTTCTAAAGAGGGCACCCTTGACTATTGCGAATAACCCATACAAAGCACGAAAGGTCTGGCCGCCCAACTTTAAGCAGCTCACCCACCAGCAACAACTCCGCTTTGAGAAGAAGTACAAGAGGCGCATTGTGCTAGCAAGCCGCTCGCCTACGTGGGAGAAGGCTGTCAAGACAGCTCAACTCTTGACCATCGTTGGTAAGTCTATTCTTGAAGCTTCTACTTCATCGGCTAACTCGGTCATCAGCTGCCATGGTCTGGATTCTGTTCTACTCCGAGTTTGAGTGGTGGGGGCAAAAATACAAGCCGTCTGAAGAGGTCCGTTCATGGAATCAGCAAGAAACGGTATCACAAGCTAACGATCTTGTCAGATCCGAAAAAAGACAAACTACCTCTTCGGTACATTGGACCCCGAGAAGAGATTTGAACGACGTCCAGACGCACCCCCTCCACCTCCCCCCAAAGACGAATCCGAGTCAAAATAGAGGATTCTTTGTGTATATTATTGAATCATGGAGTCTGGCGTTATCCTCGTGGTGGCATAACATGTATGGATATCTTGGTGGACAGGCTCATCCTGCACCCCGCTCTATCATGCCTTCTTTTCCTTCTCGTTCAGTGTCATGATCATCACCGGCCCGTCCAGGCAAAGTTAGCGCCCATGCCGAGCCCAGCTCCCAAGCCAGAGGGTCCCCTTCCCTCATTCACCGGTCGCTTTGCGACAGTTCCCTGCGCCTTGACTCCCGCGACGATGCGGTCCAGATTTGTCTCTATTACAACGCCTCCTATAATCATTTCCGAGAGCGTAGAATGTAGCGTCTCGAAGTTGAAGATCAAGTCCAACTCGCAGACATTCTCGAAAAGCTTGTCAAGGGCCTCGACGTAGACCTGAATCAGGTCGATGAGGGCGAGCGGCGACTCGGTCGAGGTCGAGATGATGATGAAGAAGAGTGTCGCATAGTGGCGGTATGTCACCAGCGAGGGGACATCGTTCTGTTCCTCTGACGACGTGTGCGAAGTACCAGAGGCGGCAAGCAGCGGTGGGAGAGGTAGAAAGTTGCAGGATCCGGCCGGTCGATTAGACACGAGGGTAAAGATCTCGGAGATGAGACGCTGCTGGATGCTCGTTTCCTAGAACAAGGGAAATGGGTGAGTTGTACGCGACAGACAGCAGCCAGTCAGGGATGAGACGTACGAGCTGGGTATAGAACTTTGTCAGACGAGGCTGACCTTGGCCATTGAAGACCAAGAAAGCATTAATCATGATTGAGAGTTGAAATCTTTCATTCCACCTCTTACTGCAATCGGAGCGTGTTGAGATGGGAGTGTGAAGCAGGTTGATAGTGGGGCTGTTGAGGTGCTTGCGGCGCTGACGAAGGTGCCGATGACCGGGATGGTACGTACCTGCTTTGGAACACGACGTCATGATTGGCCAGCTGCTCTTGCACCTCACGAGCTTGATCCAAACCGCGGGGAGCTCAGCTTGTTCTTGCTGAATACATCACGCCTTCCATACCTACCGAACAACGACAATTGACAATCAACACCACAACAAGTGTACCTATCATCTCGACAGTAAACCATCTTTCAATCAATCACTCTAAACCCAAAGTAATCGCCTTTGGATTTTGATGCCAGCCCCAAGAATGTCCCGTCAAGTCGCATCCCAAGCCTCCCGCCTGGCTTCGCGGGCCATTCGCACTTCGACACCTCTCTGCCGCTCAAGCTTCCGTCTCGCACCCGTCGCATCACGTATCCACCTTCCCGCCCGCGCTGGTGTCCTGCGAAGCTATTTCTCGACCGCTCCAGCCCGTACGCGGGGTATCATGCCCGATACCGAGAACCCCGCCAAGCCTTTGGATGAGTCGGAGGATGTCCAGCCGAGCGCTGCTGTGGCCGAGCTGACCGACGGCGAGTACCACGAGCTTGCCGATGAATACCTTGATAACGTCGTGGGCAAGTTCGAGGAGCTCCAGGACGAGAGGGAGGATATTGATGTCGAGTTCTCGGTTCGTGCTGTTCTTCTACATGACTTCATTCTTGGTTCCTCGGCTAACAGATTCAACTACAGTCCGGTGTCCTCACCATCAGCTGGCCCGACAAGGGCACGTACGTCATCAACAAGCAGCCCCCAAACAAGCAAATCTGGCTGTCGTCCCCCATCTCGGGCCCCAAGCGCTACGACTGGTGCATCTTTGGCGAGGGCCAGAACGAGAAAGAGGGTACTGCCGTCGGCGACTGGATCTACGCCCGTGATGGTTCGAGCCTGAACCAGGTCTTCCTTGAAGAGCTCGGAGTCGACATTGACGTGCCGGGCGAGGAGTAGAGCTTCTTGCCCAGCGCTGATCGACATCCCGGGAAGAGCGGCGGCGGTGTTTGAGGTTGAAAAGGAACAGCATTGGCATTTTCTCTGGCGTTGAGGGCTTCAGGTAGCCTAGCAAGGATCTTCTCGTGGTTTGAGTGTATTATATGTGTAATATCGAGACGAGCCCCAGGTGCTGGGAATGACGGTAATTCCCGACTGAGAATATATTCAAGTTTATCGTGCCGCGTTACCCAGAATGTCTGCGGATGTGACTTTGCTCCGCCAATTTGGTGATACAGATACTGTACAGATCTTTTTGTCCCGTTGATGGCTCCCCTGCGGTTCTGATAGGGTGATGCTGAACCCTCCAGGTGTTGCCCCGAAAGCAGTGTTTTAACAGCTCAAGCTAGATACGCTGAGAACCAGCTTTCGGCACAGTAGTCCATCTCAGGTAGTCCTCTCATCGAATACCAGTCGAATGATCTTAGACTAGCTGCTTCATGATCAGGTTCCTCCTCGCTGCTCACGTCCAAGTAAAGTACTCAGATATCAACGCAGAAGTATCCCCATTGTCTTGTTGAGCATAGCCACTGTCATATCGTAATGTTGATACGCAGTCATTTTGACATTACCCATAGGAGATCTAAGCACACACACAAGGTCAGCACCAATCCTCAAATTTTGTCTTTGTCCCAGACTCACATATCCCCCCTCATGGGCTGCCAACTGCTGTGATACGCCCTTCCGAGCTGCACCTTGACGAGGTTCTTGAGGATCTTGTGTTCCATCCCCTTCTCCCTTGCCGCCGCCTCCAGGAACCAGACGGTCCGCTTGATGGCATTTTCATCGTATCTCATGTTGGGGTCCCGGAAGGCGGCGCGCAGCTGGTCGCGGACTACGAAGCGGGCGGGTATCGTGTACTGCACTGCCTGAAGAAGGCAACGATAAAGGCGCCGGTAGGCGTTTGTAATAGCCCGATCCTCCCACATGGCTGATGACCGATTCCAGGTTGTCTTGATGATTGTAGTTTTCTATACATGAGATGCCGTGGGTTGAATGAGTTTCTATCGAGCGCACGGACCACATACGTATCTCACCAACAATTTCGCACTGTGAGCTACCTAACACCAGCTTCAAACTTGGCAACCTCAGTTGAACCGTTACCCAGATCAAGTTCATAATTACTCTTCAAGTATAGCTTCTCATTACTCCAGGTTCTATCTCACTTCATGTCAAGCATCGCTAATTTCAGGGCCATGTTCTGCATTATCTGCGTTCTATCCAATAGCTCACTATGTGTGCTCGCCATACAACCAATGATCCAAAGTCGCCGTCTAATACATACATACAAGCCAAACGGTCTAGTAGAACCTTCATCTCTCAAATCTTACCTATCGTATGGTGTCATTCAATACCCCAAAGACTAACTCAACCAATACCATGCCACACGCTTGGCTCCGCTATCCTGACTTGAGCATGTTCGCGCTGTCTTTATCCCAGTGACAACACGCCAATGCCTCGTGCGCCATCTATATGCAGAATCTCTTTATCGACGTGATCCCCGAGTAAACACCATTAATAATCACCACGTCGGCCATCCTCTTGCTGTCCTAGAGGCGCGTAGCGGCCTTGAGCGCTGCTACCACTATCGGACCTGTTGCGGCCGACCACCCTTGACAGCCATCCACCAATGCTTCTATCTTCACCTCCATTGGCCTGAATCTGAGACTTGTTGTCGTCGTCAACAGTCGGGGGGTCAAGGGAAAGACGGGGAATAGCGGACGTGGGTCCATTAAATCCCCGAGAGGATCCCACAGGAGAACCGGCCCTCATAAGGGAACTTGTTTCCGCCCCATGCACAGAAGGTGTGCCTGCCACGGTGCTAGCATCTCCAAACAGCGAATCCATGTCTTCGAGGCGGACACCGCAGGTCTCGGGGTAGATGAAGTAAACTAATGGCAGGGTTAGCACAGCCCTAACATATTAGAGCAGGGTGGACTTACCGATAACCACACTGGCAACACAGAAGAACGCATGAACAAGGTACATGCGCCACTTGATCCATTCCTGGAGAATAGGCGTCATCTCACCAACCAACCAGTTGGCAGCCCAGTTGGTGGCCGTTGACAGACTGGCACCCTTGGAACGGATGCTGAGAGGCAGAATCTCGGGTGGGTACAACCAGGGAATGGGGCCCCATGAGAAACCAAACGCAGCATTGTAAATCATGACGAATAAGACGACCAATCGGGGGGTCCACTTGACGTCGAGGTACAAGAAGTACGAGATGCAGGACAGCGCAACTGCCATGGCTGCTGCGCCCGAGAGAAGGATCTTGCGGCGACCCCATCGATCAACCAAGTACCAGGGAGGAATTGTTGACATGAGATATGTGAGGCCGTTGAAACCCGTCATGAGGACGGCATCGTGTCCGACCCAGCCAGCAGACTCAAACACGTAGGGCGCGTAGTATGAGATGACGTTGATTCCGTTGAGCTGAGCCAATCCCTGAGCGGACATGGCAATGAAGACGCGGGTCTTGTATCGACGGAACATCTCGCGGTAAGTTCGCTCGCCTTCTTGGCGCTGCAGGAGGACGTTCATCTTGATCTCGCGGTACTCGTCTCGAGCCTTGGGGTTGTGAATATCTCCGCCACCATACAAATTAGCAATGACAACCATGCCTTCCTCGTCGTGGTCGTTGTCCAGAAGCCATCTAGAAAGGTTAGCACCTTACATTTCAACGAGTGAAGTGTACTCACCGAGGCGACTCGACAATGACGAGACTGCCAACACCAAGAAGAGCGCCCATGATGCACTGCATAAGCAGGGGAATGCGCCACGAGAGGTTACTCTCAATGAAGCCGCAGCCATAGTCGACCCAAACAGAGGTTGTGTAGCCAACAATGTTTCCAGTGAATTCGATACAGGCGAGTTTTCCTCTGTTGTGTGGGGGAGAAATCTCGGACTGGTAGACGGGGACGATGGTCGAGAGCATACCAACGCCAAAACCAGCAACGAAACGACCGACCATCATCATGGGCATAGACGTAGCGAGGGTCTGGAGGGCGCCTCCAACAAAGAAGATACACGATCCGTAGAGAATGGTACGTCGTCGTCCAATGATGTCTCCAACACGGCCAACCATTAGCGAGGTGATAAAGGCACCAATCTCAAGAATGGCAACCATAGTTCCGACATAGGCCTTGGAAGGCTGACCGAAATAATCCATAAAGTACGGACCACTGCAAACTGTCAACGAGGGCTCAACAAGCTGTCAGGATCCATATCAAGACCTACGTGATCACTCCCGACATAACTCCTTGGTCGTATCCGAACAAGAAAACGCCTAATGATACAAAGATGCTGGTAAAATACCTGGGCGGGCAATCAGTACGCAACGGCGATTCGGTGGTGGAGAGTGCTCTTACAGCAGGGGCTTGCCCGTGAGGCCGTGGATAGAACCTGTTCGTCCCGACATGATGGCGCCGACTATGCGTTCACCTCGAGTAGGGGGTCTGGGATTGAAGTCGGGGACTTCGATAGCCTCCTTATCAATGAGGACGGAATGGGAGCGAGAGTGGTGGCGGTGATGAGAATCCTGGATGCGAACCCTCTTTTGATTGTGATTCTTGTGTCGACGCTGGACGCCAGCCAGCAGCTCGTCCTCGATCTCGGTGGAGAGCTGAAGGCGAACGGGGTCGTTGTCGGCGAGCTGTTCGCCGATGTCACCCGTGTCGGTCCAGGACGACTCGGAGCCGGAGTAGGAACGGCGGCGCTGGGAGCGGGCGGCGTCGGGGTGCTGGTAGTCGAGGTCACGATCGTGGTCGTCGTAGCGGGACGAGGCGAGCAATGACGTCGCTTGCGAGTCGGGGTCGTTTTGACTATCAGATCTCGAAGGCAGGGTCCGCAAGGGGATGTTGGAGGGGAGACGTGAAGAATTTGGGGGAGGAATTTTGGGAGGATGGGGCTGTTAAGCAGCAGCGCCCGTCTGCACAAAGTTTGGAGGTGAAGGGAACGGAAGGAGGAAGAGACAAGCCGAGAGGCAGCGAGGTCATCGGCACCTCCAAGCAAGGCCAGCGGAGAACGACTCGAACCTAGCGGGACGGGGGACGACGGGGAGGAAGGAGAATGGGGTCGGGTGACCGGGGTGTGGTCCAAGAGAGACAGTATCAGGGTCTCAAAAGCGCTGAGAATATTCAATGGAAGCGAACCCAGGCAGGCCAGGCTCCAACAGATGTGAGGCCTGCAACCACTCACAATCAGCAAGATTGGGCGAATGCTAGTCAGTCGAGATGGAACCGACAGTTCTGACGGGGTCCGATTTGCCTTGTTGGGGTCCCTGGTTGGTGTGGCAGTGGTCCCTTTCAAAGTGCGTCACCGGGGGATAGGCCAAGGCAGCGCGAGTGTCAGGGTACCTAGGAGTGACCTTGGGTGTGCAGCGCAGCGCAGTGTCCAGTGATGGATTTCTGAGGGTGTCGCGGTACGGGCGGAGGACGCGGGATGCGACAGGACGCGATCACACGGAGACGACGATACGGATATCGCGCAAGATGCACCGAGATGGACCTTTGACAGTCGCTGCAAGATCTAGGCAGGCTGGGGAAACGGAAAAGCTGGAGTAATGATGCAGCCTTGGGGGTGGTCGGAGCTGGGGTTGGTATGGCAGATGACCGATCTCTCAGCGACAATTGAGACAGCGGAGGGCCTCGGCGGGATTGGGAATGGATGGGATGTGGGACAAGTGATGGATAGCCCAAGTCATGCGACAGCGGATAGCAGCAGCACAGCAAGTGGGCGACGCGGTTCAAAGGATCGACTGAAGGGTGAGTTGGCGCGAAAAATGGTGGTTGTCGAAGAGAAGATGAAGATGAAGGGGTGAAGGGAGAGCGAACTTCAAAGGGAGGTTTTGGGGGACATGGAAGGACAAGTCGACAACTCGAGCCGCGCGCCCAGGAGACGGGCAGCTGGAAAATAGTATCTACGACTGACTGACGGCACTGTACTGTAGGGACAGTACGGGCTGTAGGGATCCCTCCTATTCAGGGGATATGCCGCATCTTCTCAGGAGGCCGCGTCGTCGCCGTCAGCCCGATTATCGATAATCCAATCCTCAGAAGCAAACTTAACTGGCCGCCCAAAACATGGCTGCAGGGCCCCTAATCTTGCCTCTCTGCTGCATGATCATGATCATCAGTCAATTGACCTTGTCGAGTTTCCCGCCTCAGGGGTAATCTGGCATTTCTTGCCTCTGCGGCTTGGAAGATCCCCAATATTAAACTTCTTTTTATCCAACGGCGATCTCGCGATGGATTGGGTTCAAACGTCAAAGCTTCCATGATTTCACATGGAATTTTTTAGGTGGTCAATATCGATAAGAAGCCCCCTAGCTCCACGTTCACGAGCCTCGAGCGGGCGGGCGGGCGCGACCATACGCTTTACAGTGGGCGCCTGGGGCAAGCTTCAGTATCATGAGTGTGGGGTGCGTTAACCAGGGGAACCTACCTAGGCCGCCTCAAGCTGAACGAGCAGCCTCGTCAGCTTACTCAATTGTAACCATGATAACAGTTGATGGTATTCTAGACTTTCCAACGGTTGTTAACGATGCAGCATTTGCCCTGTATCAAGTGTAAGCAGCGTCAAAGGCTGTGTTTGCCTCCTCCATCATGCTTATCTCCAGCCGCATGCTAGATCGACACTCGGCGGCACGTACAGTAACAGAATGGCATAGTACTAGGCATTCGCGGGTAAACAACGTTCTATCACATTCATCAGCAAGAACTGAACCAGATCTGACACTGAATCCCCGCCGAGGCTGTGCATGCAAAGCCAGTCACGAGGCTTGTTGCCCATTCAGTCGTCGCTGAAGCGTGACCTGGGAATATGCAGGGATTCCATATTTCCTTTTGAACGTGAGGTTCAGAGTGCTAGGATGAAAGGGTCTCAAAGCCCACGAGGTTGGAACGCGTCGGTCTCGTGTTCTTGCGTCGAAAGACGAGGCAGTTGGTTGTATCACCTCGAACATGTTACCGTTGAAGGATCCATGGATGCCAATGCCTCGTGTAAATTTGACGCCGTATTTCAAAGTCACAAAACGGCATCCTTGAATAGGACTCCAAAGCATTTGGGAATATCACCAACAATCAGCTGGAACCGTTTATGCACTTCTCCACGAAACAGACAGACTTGCGAAATAAACATTTCCTCCACCAAATAACCAACCTCGTCCTACGCACAAGTACTCACCAAGTACCCCCAGAGCTCCACCCCCGAGATGCGCTACGGCACAGAGAGGATCCAGAGAAACGAACGGAGGCGCGCAATCCACGGCCACCCGGAGGCCGAGACCCAACAGGAGGTCAACCTGCTCACGTTCCACTCACACAGGCGCGAATGCTCTCCCAAGGGTCACCGTCAACTCTGGCTCCTCCGCCTATCGCCGCCCCGAGATCACTGACATTCGGCGGGTCCTGTTGACTCTGCGGTGGGTCCCGGCTACGTCACTGCGGGCTCTGACGGTCCGGGGGAGTCTTTGACGGAGCGGGACACGTGCGGGATTGATGTCGGTCAAGCCGGTGTTGGTTTTCGGGTCTTGACACCGCTTTAAGCGACATGACTTGAGCCGGATAAAAGCAGATCTTTTCCTCGTCGCCAGCGGTTATACAGAGAGTTGTAGTTGAAGCTCACGATGTGATGCTATTCATACTGTGCAAGCAAGAATCGTTATCGCTCCCCAGTCGTCGCTTGTGGGCCCGCTATGAGAACTAGTGCGTCAGGGTTGGGTTTGGAAGTTCATGATGCCGATCTGGTGTTGACCAGTGCTGGAAAACAAGTTCTTGGGCATTGATGGTGAGTTATCTCGGTTATCTCCTCGCGCAATCGTTCGACTGTCCAATCGTCTCGACAAGCTACATTTATGGCATCACTGGGCTCAATACAGGTTCTTGACACGCAGAGGGTCTTGGTGTGAGATTCCCGAGTCCTTGATTGCCTTGTTTCCTCTATCTCTGAGACTTGATTGAGTGTACGTCTAGCTAGCTGTGGCATAGGTAGCTCTCTGAAGTTGTGATTTGCAAGGTTGCCTTTGTTTCGGAATGTTACAGTAGAGCTGTTGATAGGCCGGTTCTTCAATCGCCTCAGTGACGATGCGACAATATGTAACCAAGTCATCGTTTCCTTGGCAAGTAGGTATTTGTGCTGGAATGCCCATGTTAGTTCCTGGTCGAGGGCATTCTCTAACATATTTCCCCCGGGCTGTGCAAATACGGAACGCTGCTGTAGCTCTTAATTCCATGATATATGCCCTCCCTCTTAGGATAACTTCTCGTGATATGTTATGTTTCTTTATTCTCGTCTAGTTGCTGGATAGGTTGCCAACAATGCCAGTCACATCTCCAGTTGTGGGAAACCCGTATTGATATCCTTCGACAATAGACTCCATTCATGGGTAATAGCTAAGGTTGTGGACATTCTGAATAGATCCATGACACATGTGGCCCGAACTGGTCCCTCCTTACTAGCTGATTATTCCTATCTTCCAATTGGTCTCCTTTGTAGCTGGGCATGGGTTGTCTGGTGAGGAGGCAGCAAGTGCCTTAAAGACATGTCCACTGACATCCAACAGATGCATAATTCAAGCTTCTCTCTGCACAAGGTGGGATTTTATGTTGAATAATTCACTTGCATTCTTAATCAGTCTTTTCCTTATGTATTCTTCGACGCTCGTTCCGGGTGCCGCTTCATCGTCGTGCTCCCTTTTGAGAGTGGCCGATGCCACAACAGGCGAAGTCTTCCGACTTGCTTCGCTAATGCTGCGTGACTTGAGTGCATTCCCTAGTATGTTCGTGTGTTACCCCGTGTAGGCGTGGTAAACGCCCTTGGGTGGTCGGTCTATCGCTGCCCTGTTAAATTGTCGGTGTTCTCCTTAACTCCGTTGTAAGAGCACAGGCTCGGGGCGATATATTACCCTTCCACCCAGTTTATTACCACGGAAACAGGGAAACATCCTTTCGAATGGTTTTCTTTGACATGATTACTTCTTAATTTGCTACGCACTCATAGGGTTACAAAAACCCGACACGGGTTGTGAAATCTATGAGTGTATAGCATTGGGTTGCTGTGACAGCTTGGGTCGCATTATCTGAGGGAAACCATTGCCAATTTATTGCTTTTCCCATGTGTATTGGCTTACGGTCCTCTTTTTGCATCTTATCTCTATTCTCGGACCAAGTCACTTGGATTCCGGATTGTTCCTCAGGTTGAATTGTGTTTTGGGGGTTGATATATCCGTAACATCTATTTAACAGGAAATAGGAGTTATAGATGTTATAGTCACAACAGATAGAAAATCCATTCTTCCCTACACAAATGATTAGCCAGAATACAACTAACAATAGCCAGCCAGATACTCAAGTCAGAAACCACCGCTCGTGTCATCTTTGTCAACCCGGCCATATTGAAAAATGTCGCGGTCTGAGAACGAGCTACCCTACACTACAACTCGAAACCCTCGAGATCGAGAATGACAAAAACACAAGCAGATTTTCCTAAAGTGGTTGATTTCCCATCCTACAGAATCTGTAGTTAGCTTCCATGCCAGGGGTAAAGAAACGCCACTTAATTTACTATTGGCTATGTTCCATCCTGTGAGACATAACCGTCTCACACCAGCTGGGCAGACTTCGATTGTGCACTTCACCGCAGCAGCCCAGGGATGACATCGAGGCAGAGCACAAAACCCAGCCATCCTAACTAACTACGGAATAGAAGACATCCGGATAGTGACGGCCCCCATCCGGTCGAGAACTGAACTGGCAGAACAGCTCATGGCACCCAGCAGTAGCCGCACAATTGTCGCCACACCTACACGTGTCACGGCCAGAAGTGACCAACAAAGTCGGAGATACAGTAGGAGGGTAGCAACCATGATCTTTCACCGACAAGAAGTGCGGTAGATATGTACAGGAGCTGTCGTGCGATGCTGGCATTCCTACTTGGCCATAAGCTGCGATGACCTCAGTTCCCATCCTGGTCTGCGGAATCGTCATGGTCGACGTTCTCGGATGCCACGTCTGAAACCGGACATTGAATTCTGAAGCACAAAGTGCAAGGTCACGTCAGCTTGGCAGACATGAGGCTAGAAAAAAATGGCAGCCGACAGACGATGAAGCAGATCCATCTAGACTCTGAAACGAGGCAGTGCCTGCTTGTCACTTGAGATCGGCGAGAAGAGACCTCAGAGGTTTGTCCACGACAACATGTTCCTCTGCAAGCTGATGCAAAACCTGGGGATTTGACGTCGAGCTCTTCACCAAGAGAATGACGAGAATAGAAGGTGGGTCTTGAGCGACGTGGCTGGTGAGGGCGATCACAAAGCCCGTATCCAATGACGGGAGCTGACATTGATGGCTTGACAATGAGTGGCACAGCACCATCTTCTCGAAATGGCTGTCGGGATGGAAAACCTGCTTTGGCTGTCGCGTGTAAGAGATTTTATCGTTACATCGGATTGCAAGTTGGTGTCATCACTACTGTAGCAAAAGGCAAGGCCTTGTCCGTCGTGCAGATGGTTGTCAAGGGCTGGGGACCTTCCAAGTTGGAGCAATAAGCCGGCGTGGCCAAGGGAGCTGAGAGCCCATCGGGAGCGGAAGCAAGTGGGCGTGTGGCTTATTGCGGGTGTATGGATGCCATTGTGTTTAATTATTCATTACCTTGGATGCTGGGAGGAAACATCAGATGGTGATTAATCGGGTAGCTATTGAAACAAAGGGAGGGATGGCACGTAATTGACGAGGTTATCGTGCAATCCAATGTCAAGAGAGACCAAGGGAGGCAGCTTTATTGACTCGGGAGACAACAGCATGCCTCAACCAAAGACTGCCCTGCCAAGACAAAGGCCACAAGAAGGTAATTTGCTCTAGGCCCCAAGAAGTAGAGTGAAACGAAACGGCTACGCCGCGACCCGCCGCCAACCCCCCTTCGCGCTCCATCTTGGCGACGACATCAGACTTTTGACTCCAAGATGAGCAAATCATCGTCAGCACTTAAAAAAGCCCACCTCGATCGTTGAAGATGAGGAAGGGGTTCAGGCCAGGCACAGCGGCAGGATGATGCAGAATGCAAGATTGCAGATGCAAACAAGAGCCGGCGGCATGACAACCATGCGAGCCAAAGCAAGCAAGCAATGCCTTCTTTGTTTGTCCTTCCTTGGCTTCACCATCCATGGCTGGCCGATTGTCGTGCATAAACACGCCAATATCGCCTACATTGTGACCTGCAGCGCGCTTCAGCCCTTCTGGAAAGGCCCGTGACTGGCGGGATGTGACGGTGATGGGTTGGTCCATGTTGTTGTGCAGATATCTAGAGTGGAAGGGCTGGATATGATGGGGCATGGAGGAGCAAGCATAAATGTCCATCTCGAGTCCACGAATCTTGCAAAGACTCATAGCCTTGCCATATCCATACTGTCAATTCTGTGCCCATATCTTCCCAACATGACTCCATCTCTCACTTCTCCAACCTCTCCCTCTTGCAGAATCGTGCGCGTGAACAGGTGGGAAGGTCTGTCTGTTCCCGGCCCAGCGCAGCGCAAGACAAGACAAAAAGAGGCTTGTCTCATGCCTGCAACAGCAATCTCACTGCCCTGGCTTCATCAGGCGTGGCCCGTCGCAATTTGACTCGGCCAGGCCAATGACGAGCACCCAAGCCCCTAGTGTTCAGGTCGGCTGGCTGGCCCGCCATCTTAGCCGTCCGACGTCCAGTCAGCGGCCATCAAGCGCCCCCCAGTTCCTGCGTCGTAGGGGGCCGGGGTTTCCAAGGTTCCAGGGCTCCCTGGCCTTGCTCGTGGGACCACTCACGAAGGTGCCCAGCTCACACACCTGGGCAGACACGCAAACTCTCCATCCAAGGAAACCTGAACCCTGCTTCGGCCTGCCACCCATGCTCTGTTCTGGGCATTCTGGGCCGCTGAGACCGCTAAATCCTGCTAGAGCTCCGCTGGTGGGCGGCTGTTATATTGGCTCCGGCCGCCTCCTCTCGCGTTGCGCAAAGGGTAATCAGCTTTCTCGCTACGTTAGCATACAGACTCTGTAGATCAGCTTGGCCGGTTGTCCTGCCCTGCCCGTTCGCAGCAAGCGCGACCACCACAGCAACCGCTCGTCATCACGACCACATTATACGAAACGAGAACCGAACAATTCTACTCTTTCCATCATCATCAGTCGATATCCATTTCCGACGCGAAATCCCGCTCGAAGCGCGCAATCGATTTTCTTGGACCGTGGAGCTTAACCTGCGAAATTAAGCCTCTTTCCCGCACCAGCCACCGGCCTTGTCCTAGCAACGACCGACACCAACAACTTCGATACTCCCGACTGGGGAAAAAACCTCGATTTCTCAACATCGCCCTTTGAATACGAAACCGCAAACCCAAGAAAAAGCTCACGATCGATTTCGTACCGAATTTCCTTTGTTGATTGTCGTCATTCCTCGGTGGGCCGACTCCAACGACGACCGCTTCTTCTCGATCGCTCCCGTTGTGATTGCTCTTGGATGCACCCCCTTTGATCAAGGAGCTACGCATCCACAGTCACAATGGGGTCTACCGAATTTGGAAACTTCCATGTACGCCTCTGCCATCGCGACTTTTACATGTGCAACTTCTGATATCGTGTGCGACAGGATTTTTGCAGAGACTCGACTCTCCCGGTCTGCAATGTAGGTTCACCACCATAGCGACAAGCAAGCCGTCATGTGGAGACGGAACAATGGGCCCTGACTAACTGATCTCACAGCTTCTATCCAACCCTGCCCATGACCAGAATTCTGCGAGCTGGGGAGGTTGTGAGCTCAAGGGCATTCCCTTGAGTGGGGGCAGGCACCTTGGAAATCTGGGATCGATTTTGCTTGCCGCCATCGCTATCGCCGCGGCTAGCTTTTTGGTGCTTCGCTCGGAAAGGAAGCGAGCTGCTGTTGGACGAAGGTATGCTCTAACAAGCTACTGTATTTCTAAGTTACCTGCGCTAACACGTATCAAGGGAAATGCAACTATTCCTGATCGGCTACATCATCATCAGTATATGCGAAATCTTCTCAGTTGGCGAGTTCCCACTGAACAAGACTGCCCGGATTGTATGCTTCCTGGTCTCGGATTCTGATACAATGCGCTGACCCTCCTAGGTTTTCTCTTCTGTCCACATTGGCATGATTACTGCCACAACCTGGGTCTTGTTCCTTAATGCTGTTGTTGGCTACCAGATCATCGACGATGGAACTCCCATTTCCGTCATCCTCTTCGTTGTCTCAGCTGCCGCGTTGCTCATTGGCAGCGGGTATATCGCCCTCGACACTGGCCTATCGTGGACAGGCTTTTGGGACGACAGCTATGACGCCCCCAACAGGAACATCGCCATCTACGTCCTCTACCAGCTCTTCCCCCTGGTCTGCCTCGTTGCGTACTTTGTCTTGGAAGCTATTCTGGTCATCCGAATCCTTCGCGAGCTTCGACCCTTGCTCTACCTAGTGGGCGCGGCCCTGCTCTTCGCCATCGGCCAGGTTTTCAACTATGCCGTCAGCAAGTACATCTGCGACGGCACTAGCGGCAAGATCGACGGATCTCTTTTCCAGACACTATTCACGCTGCTCGCTGTCGTCATGTTATGGGTTTTCTGGTCTAGCATCACCGAAGATGATTGGCCAATGCCCGTCACCAGCACCTATCCTTAGTGGGATGGCTACGACACAGCGGTCTATTTTCAGCGGCGTTTCACGGTGGCGGCGTAAAATATCTTGGTTTCAATGTCTCTCGTTTTTACTCGACGACTCAGCTCACGGTCGAACGACGTACACATGTTGATGGGAATGATTTTTGATGGAGCACAGCGAGTCGGCATTCTTTTTGGTGTTCTGGGTCTCTGCCGTGCCCAGGAAGCGATACGGCCATACGACAGCGATTGGGTATCTAAGCCAGGGGCACCTTGCATACGACTCTCTATTGAAGAGGAGAGGACATATTCTTTTCGAGCCTTGCCGACGGGATTTATTGGCGGAAGTGCTTGCTGGATTGAGTCTTGCTGTTCTAGGCTGGTGACGGTGTCCCGCTGGCCTGGGCTGTATATAGTGGTGGTTTAGTATAGATTCGACTGCGTAGTTATACCCTGATGAGCGACTAATGCATAAGATCGAATACAGATTCGATTAATACAATAAACGAAATGCAAAGACTGCTGTTTTCTAGGCACTTGAGACTTTGGGTGAAGGCGAAATCGGCACATGTTAGCAGGCCTCTCTTCGATCACATGGATGTTAGAGAACACAAGCTTGATTTCCATTGCTCTGGCATGATTGGCCCATTTCTCAACCTTAAAAATCTTGGTAAGTGGGCCTTGACAAGGCTGTGAATCTGAGCCACAGCCTCGTTCTCTTTATTTCGTCACCTCTAGGCTTCACCCACCTCATCCAATTTCTTTTGTCGTCCATCTTACTATTGCTTCAAATCCGCCCTCCTCCCACTTGCTACGGAAAGCGATTCTCCTCACATAGCCGCTCTCTATCCTCACCCTCGACGAACCTCGAGCGATCTAAACCGCCACAATGGCTGACTCCGATGGCGAGTACGTCGCCGACGACATGTCGGACGACGACATCATGGACCACCGCGTCACCGATGAAGACCCTAAAGGCGCCGGGGGAAAGTCTTCGCGACCGCATAAGAAGGATCGCAACGCGACCCGGGCCTGGGAAAAGTCGAAGCGCACCTGGGAGACGAACCTCCCCGAGGAAGACCAGGACGGGTTATTGAGTCTCACGGCGCTCGAGGCTGAGAAGCGCAAGCGCCTGCTCCGCGACACGACGCCGCTGCAGAGAGGCATCATCCGGCACCTGGTACTCGTGCTCGACATGTCATTCGCCATGGCGGAAAAGGATCTGCTGCCTACGCGGTACCGCCTCACGCTGAGATACGCTGCTGCCTTTGTCCGCGAGTTCTTTGAGCAGAACCCTATATCTCAGCTTGGAATCATTGGCATGCGCGACGGTGTTGCGGTGAGGATTAGTGATGTTGGAGGGAACCCGGCTGAGCACCTGGAGCGGTTGAAGGGTTTGGAGGATCAGGACCCTCAGGGCAACCCGAGTCTGCAGAACGCTCTCGAGATGTGCCGGGGAGCTTTATTGTAAGTTGGACCCGAGACAGTCACTCTGCAGTTGGTATCCTAAGCTGACCTCTTCTGGAAAGCCACGCACCATCACACGGCACTCGAGAAGTGCTTATCATCTACGGTGCTCTGCTATCGAGCGACCCGGGCGACATTCACGAGACGGTTGGCAACCTCATTACGGACCGGATACGCGTGTCCATCGTCGGACTATCAGCACAGGTGGCTATCTGCGCTGACCTCTGCTCGAGAACAAATGCCGGCGACGAGTCGCAGTATAATGTGGCCATGGACGAAGTGCACTTCCGTGAGCTCTTCCTCGCCGCCACCACGCCCCCCGTCACCCGGACTGCTGAGCAGAGCACGGCGAGCTTACTCATGATGGGCTTCCCATCCCGTACACTCGTGGCCGGCGGCGATACAAGCTACTGCGCCTGCCATAACCGGCCCTTCCGCGAGGGTTACCTATGCACACGCTGTTCCGCCCGCGTCTGTCGCCTCCCCGCCGAGTGTCCTGCCTGCGGGCTCACCTTGATTCTCTCCACCCATCTCGCCCGCTCTTACCACCATCTATTCCCTCTACGGAACTGGGTCGAGGTCCCTTGGGCTAACGCCGCCCGCTCTGCAGCGTGCTTCTCCTGCCAGGCGCCATTTCCTGAACCGCCAAAGACAAAGGCCCCTGATAAGCCTAAGGAGGACGCGGGGCCCAAACCGGCAAAGGGCGTCAGCGAGAGCGGCCGCTACGCGTGTGAGGTATGCCGGCAGCACTTTTGCATCGACTGCGACGTGTTTGCCCACGAAGTCATCCACAACTGTCCGGGCTGTCAGAGCATAGTCCAGAAGACGGATGGTCCCGTTTCGGCTGAGCCGAACGGTACGGCGCACACCAACGGCGATGTAGTCATGACATAGAAATCTGGGATGGAGGAATAAGGAGACTGGACGACGGTATACCCGGGAAAGGAGAGATTTAGCAAGCTGTTGATTTTCTTGTACCAATAGCTTATCACGGATGAGCATCATCATATCATATCAAAACGGCCTCATATCAAAGGTAAAGGGGACGGAGAGGCGCATCAATGGGTCAAAGCATTTTTGTAACAATTTTTATTTTATTTATTTATTGGACCATAGGGGCACGATGCCCTTTCAGTCCCAGGTCAGCTCGCATAGCCAGACTAGGCGTTAATAGACGACCATGAAATCGTAACCTCGTCTCATTTTTTGGACTTGCTCGTCTGTATCATCCTCTCTCGCGCATAATGCTATGGGAAGATGCCTTCAACTAGAACAAAACAGATAGTTCACATAACCGCAGCGCTTGCGTGTGTTGTGGTATGTTGCAGAAAACAAAATCACACGGCTTCCCATCTACAGGTTGCCGCGCTCAGCCTGCTCACGCTCAATGGCCTCGAACAGACTCTTGAAGTTGCCAGCGCCGAAGCCGTCAAAGTCGTTGCGCTGGATAATCTCGATGAAGACGGTGGGGCGGTCCATCAGGGGCTTGGTGAAAAGCTGGAGGAGGTAGCCGCCCTCGTCGTAGTCGATGAGGATGTTAAGGCGCTCGAGAGTCTCAAACTCCTCCTTGAGCTCCCAGTTGCGGCGCTCGGTCTTGAGGCGCTGGCGCATGGCAGTGTAATATGTAGAGGGAACGTCGATGAACTCGACGCCGCGGGCGCGGAGGGCAGACACGGAGGTGATGATGTCCGGGGTGAGGAGGGCGATGTGCTGGACGCCAGGACCCGAGTTGAAGATGACGTACTCCTCGATCTGGGACTTCTTCTTGCCCGGGGCAGGCTCGTTGATGGGCATCTTGACAACGTTGTTGGGAGAGGCCATGACGATGGAGCTCAGGGCTGAGAACTCGGTGCAGATTTGCGAGTCGTCAACGGACCAGAAGCGGTGGAAGGACAGACACTGCTCGTAGAAGGCACAGGCCGAGACCATCTCGTTCCAGGACTGGTTGCCGACGCAGTGGTCGATGCGAGCCAGGGGGACGTCTGGCATGGAAACGGAGGCGGTCTTCTTGTTGACTGCGCGGAAACCGGGGAGGAAGGGTCCGGTATAGTTCTGGCGGGAGATCAGAGTGTGAGTGGTATCGCCATATGTGCAGATGACGGCGGTAGAGACGGAACCGTGCTCCTTATCCTTGGTGACCAAGGGGTCCTGGACGGCGATAGCACCCTCCTCGACGGCCTTGTAGTATACGCCCTCGACATTGTCAACCTCAAAGGCAACATCCTTCACAGCATCGCCGTGGCGTTCGAGGTGGGCGTACATCTCCTTGAGGAGCTTCCGGTCCGACTTGGAGATGGGTTCATCGTCGGGGAAGTGAGCTTCGGAGCGCAGGGGCGAGGTGAAGACGAAGCGGACATCGTTGTTGGCGACGACGTACGAGGCAAAGTACCGGCTGCCGGTCTCGAGGCCCTTGTAGGCGATGGTCTTGAAACCGAACAGGTTGGTGTAATATGAGGCGGCCTGCTTGGCGTTGCCAACCCACCAGGTTATGTGGTCATAGCCGGTGAAGTTGGGAGGAGGCTGGACAGCGAGGCCGTCTGCCTGGGAGAGAGCAGAAGCAGTGGCAGTAGTCGAAGGCTGAGCAGCCCGCTGAGGAGGAGAGTTGGTGATAGCAGAAGGGGCCATTGACACACAGACGGGACGATGGAAGATGGATTGGTAATTCAAGATAGGGGGTTGGCTTGGAGTTCAAGTCAGATGGGATAGATATCCTTGATGATAGTGGCTTCGAGGAGCTGATGAGGCTTGATTGTGAGGGTGTTGAGATCTGCAGATACCAGCAAGATGGAGGGCATCTTGGGTCATATATAAAAGAGTTTGACCGTCAAACCAGGCCCCCGGCTTAAGACATTTGCCATGAGGCATCAAGCCCTGTTTCTTTGACACCTTTCCCGGAAAGGCTCCGCCATAGAAGGCATTGAGCGGCCCGAGTCACTCACTTGTCAGGATAAGCAAGTAGCAGTGGGCCAACAACATTCTTGTCAACAGAATCCTGCGGCAACACCCCTAGAGGCAGGTAACATCGCCCGTGAGGCCCAATGGTATCGACGGCATAAGAAAGCGAATTCCGTCAACTCAACCCTGGATGAGCCGCCGTGGCAGGGCCTGGGGTCACGAGCGGGGATTCCGCGTCAGACGACGGTCCAACTGATATCATCGACGGGCAAGCTATGGCCTCCAAGGCGTCAATTCCTCCCCCTCCCCCAATTGATCAAGCTGATGGGCGGTAGTGCCGAACCGTAGTTGTTGAAGGTTGCGCAGGCATCGCCCTGCGGAAAGCTCCCGGCCGAGACTCCCGCGGCGCCGCCAACCGCCCCAAGCCGACGTTGGCCGTGATCCGCCCAATCGACGCCGCGCCCGCCACGGACGGCTTTCCGGAGCAGACAACCAACTTGTTTCGTTCGCCCGGCGCACCCTATCGAGCACTGCGGAACTGTCAGCAACTGCTCGGCAGAAGGACCCTGGTAATCTGAGAAAATGCGGAGTGTTTGGCGCCCGCGTAGATCGCCTCCCCCGCTAGAGCCGAGAGGGTTCCTTGTCTGATATCGGTGGCTTATCCACTCGGCCAACGTCGACCGTGATAGATATCTAGAATGCCTGCCCGTCCTTCGAAGCACTTGCACTTGCTGCCGTTGTCTTGCATCATACCGGCTTTGCGAACATTCCAGAAAAGAGGCTTGCCAGAGACAAAACGTTGAGAACAGGGTCTCTGTCTTGTTGAATACCTTTGACGTCCTACTCTTTCTTTCTTCATCCTCCAATTCGCCACCAATCTCAGCCTTCACAATGACTTGTGTATCTTTGAGCAAGCACGATATCAACGTGCTTGAGAAGATCAAGGACCCCGAGTCAAACCCTTACGCCGGCATCGTTCTTGACTCCTCGCTGCCTCGCGACCCAAACATCACAGACGCTGGCGTATATGAGCGAGTAGTCGAGAAGGAGCGTGAAATCATCCGCTCAATTCAGAAGCTCGAGGTCCAGCTCAGGGACCTTGGTCTCGATCAGGGCAGGGATGCCGCGGTTAACGGCTACCGAGAGTGCCTTTCCGCCATCGAGGACATGATCTCGGAGCACCCGAACTATGCCAGTGCCAGGAACAACCGGGTACAGATCTTTAGACGGCTCTACGGAGACGCCATCCTCCTTTCAGAGACCTCGGACAACACAATGCCCTTGATCGAGAACCCCGATACAACTGAAAGGAGAAGGGTTGTTGCCACAGCCTTGAACGACATGGAGACGTCTATTGCGCTTCTGTCTCCATCTTCACCAACCGCTCCAATATCGCCTCAAGCAGCACGCACGCTCTCAATGGCACACACTCAAAGAGCAGCTGTGTACCTCAAGACGGCAAAGCTGCTGCTGCACCGCTCATTGGACGTTGGCCAAGACCTCCGGGAATCCAAATGGGAGAAGCTGGACTTTGAAGAGGCTGCGTCTCGAGACCTTGCACTTGGCGGTCGATACGGGAATCAGATTGCCAAGGGTTTGGCCGTCAGTGTGAACCCAACAGCAAAACTGTGCGGACAGATTGTTCGAGAAGCGATGAAGAAGGAATACGGCCCGTCTTTTGGTGATTTCAAAAGTTGAAAATGGAATTAGTTTAGAGTAGGATACCCGGTGAATAAAAGCCTTCAAGATATCGGACCAGAGTTGACCATGAGATGAGACAAGACATGGTTGTAGGGAATTAGGATGACTTGGAAGGGAAGCCAATTCGTCTAAGTGAGATTGAATCAGTTTCCATCTAGAAGCCAACAGTTGAATCGTAGAATTACCGTCGTGCAGCCTCAATCGTCTGTTCCGTAGTTCGGCCCTTGTCCTTTTCCTCACGGTTGATTCTTGTTGCAGCCGCTGAAAGGCCAATCAAGACGCCAAAGATGGGATCCGCCACGCGGGAGATGATGTAAGTCGGCGCAGCAGGCATATTGACTCAATTTCTGTTGAGGAAACTCGGAGAGACCGTAAAGTTGAGGTTGAATATATTGCTCTTTTTGCTATGCAGCCTTTCATTCTGGAAGATGCCGATGGGGTCACGGAACGGAAGACGGTCCCTTGGTCGTGCACGGGCCACAATCGGAGCGGGCTTAGCGGTCCTAGCATGTCATGTGACTTGGCACACTCGCTTGCCCCAAATTATCCAAACCCACAAACCCGACAATTTTACTCCCAAATTCCGATCACGGTTCACGACGCCCAACTAACTTCATACCAGCACAATCCGACTACCCACCGGACAAGATGAAGTTCCTCAAGGTCGGCCGAGTCGCCATCATCACCCGCGGCAGATACGCCGGAAAGAAGGTACGACGCCCGCGACATTCCTCGTTGCCATCCTCTCGAGTTTTTTGCGCCATCCGATGAACATGGGGTCGGGGGAGGGAAAAAAAAGTTGCCGTGTGTTGTGGTGGACGGCGAGGAGGCGCAGAACAGAAGAACAGCGACGTGCTGGATGCTGTCATTTGGTTCATCATTGTCAAAGACACGAATTGCTGACTCGAATCGCTTCAACAGGTTGTCATCATCCAGCCCGTTGACAACGGCAACAAGCCTCACCCTTTCGGCCACGCCCTGGTTGCCGGCATTGAGCGCTACCCCTCCAAGATCACCCGCCGCATGTCCAAGACCCGCCAGGAGAAGCGAAACAAGATCAAGCCCTTCATCAAGGTCATCAACTACAACCACTTGATGCCCACCCGCTACACCCTGGAGCTTGAGGGCCTCAAGGGCTCCATCTCCAACGACACCTTCAAGGAGGTTTCCCAGCGCGAGGACGCCAAGAAGACTGTCAAGAAGGTTCTCGAGGAGCGATACACCAGCGGCAAGAACCGATGGTTCTTCACCCCTCTCAGTACGTTTTTGCTGCTGTCCCTTTCACTCTATCAGGACTGTTGTCTCTGTGGGGTGGAATAGGGCAAGGACATACCCACAGGACCCAGGCTAACAAGGTCAATAGAGTTTTAAAAAGATCGTTTCTCCATCACGGTTAGGGAGTTGGCGGGATGTAAAGAGCATCGATTGGCATTAAGGAACCCCGGTTTTTATGGGCTCAATATCAAGTTTCTTAAAAAATCAGATCTCTCTTTGCGGCGTGTGACTGTAGCGTCAAAATACAACGCGAATCGGACGGACGTGTTGGCCCCGACTGAAAGGACATCGGTGGGGAGTTGCTGTGCTGGTGTTATCTATCCCAAGAGGTCATGGTCATGGCAAATGCAAATAGGCCCCGGCGACTTTGCTTGACGGTCAATGTCGGTGAGGTAGTCCAATAAAAGAAATGAAGCAAAAAATTACCGTCAAAATCCAATTGTGCCACGCCGTCAACACAACGCAACCAACGCACACACACACATACGCACTATATGAAGCAATACGAAAGACAGGGTGATTATAAGACTTGATTTTTTGTCGCCCATTTCATTTCTACATGTCTATGGCCAAACGCCGTCTAAAGTTACATGTCAATTAGACCTTTCGTGATGCGGTTCATGCTCGCGACCGCGACCTCGCGCTCTGCGCCCAGCTCTATGGCTTTACACTTCATAATACCTCCCCAGCCCTCAAGTCAAACAGAATATGTCAAAAAGTTTCCAATCAGCAGAAAGGCCCGACCAGTCAACGTGACTATGTACGCGATCATGCTCGGTTCGTGATGTCAAAAAAGGGGGTGAGACGTAAGGAAATAATAAGAGAGAAAAAAGGGGTTCCTTAGATCGCCGTTCGCCCCGTAAAGTAAACGCCTCGGCGCAACATTTCTTGAGGGTTGCGAGTCCCATTGGCACCGTGCATTACAACATTCTAAGACCGTTGGGCCTCGTTCATTCCGAAACGGTTCGTCACCTCGTTAGCCAGCCTGGTGGGGTCATACTCGGGGGTGTAGCCAGGGGCAAGACCACCGAACAGGGCGAAGATGAGGAAGCCGGTGAAGATGATGATAGTGAGCTTGCGGAGGATGGGCTTGCGAGCACCAAACTCGGCCCACTGTCGGTTGGCATCAGCAACGTGAGCCTTGATCTGCTCGTAGCCGAGCTTGTAGTAGACCATGCCACCTAGAGCAATGGAGTAACCGAAGAACTGGAGACCAGTAACCTGGGTGCCCCAGATCATCATGGAGGCAGCAACGAGCAGGATATCCTTGAGGACACCGCAGAGGGTCAGGACGACGGCGGAGGTCTTACCAATCTGTGGAGGGGGTTAGCAGAATTCGATCTGGTTGTAGATTCGCAAAACATACCAGGAAGACGACAGACACGTTCAGCATGAAGGCGCAGAGACCGTTCAGGAAGAAGGTGAAGAGACCGACGTTGTAGACCTCGGCCATGGAGCACCTAGGAATCTCCCAAACCAGGGCAACAGCACCGTTCATGATAACGCAGATGGGAGCGAAGTAGTACAGAGAGACCAGGGGGTCCATCTTGAAGTCAGCGGAGCTCAGCAGGCGCTGGACCATGGTGAGTCGGAGAGCCTCAAAGATGATACCACCAATCTGGTACAAAACACCAATGGTCACGAAGTGGATTTCGCCAAAGGACGCAATGATGACACCGACAACAATGGCCGAGACGTTGAGGAACTGCTTCAGGTTGGGGGCGGAAACGCCGAGGACCCAGCCAGAGATGAGGACAGCAACGGGAGTGGTGGCCTTGAGCATCTGGATGAAGGCGACCGAGAGGTAGAGGTATGTCAGGTTTCCGCAGATCAGACTCAAACTGAAAAAGACACCAATGGGGACGACGGCGCGCATGTAGACGCGAGGCGTCATCTTGACGGTCTTTCGGCCATCAAGGAAATGAGTCCATCGGGCGAGGATCTGGGTGACGACGGTCGCAAAGGTCAAGTGGTAGGTGGTGAGGATGACGGGGTAGCCTGAAGTTTCGCATGTCAGCTAGGGGACAGATCGAGGGACGATTCGAGGAGCGTACGGAAGTTGAGGGTGTCGAGAAGCCATTTGTTGAACAGAATAACTGAGGAACTGAAACCAATCCAGGCACTGCATCATCTGGTTAGCAAGTTGCGCGTTGACAAGATCGATCCGAGAGAATGACTGACACAACGTAAAAGGTAGGATGAATCGAGGCGCGAGGAGACTGCTTCTCGAGGCCGGGGTTGACAGTGGGAAGAACGGGAGTGGCGGAGCGAGGCGTCTCGCCCGAGACGCGGATCTTTTCATCAGCCGACATTGTGAGTGGTTTCTAGAGATGCAAAGATCTAGAGTTGAGCTGGTTGAGACCGGTTGATGGAAACGGCGAGGTTGTTGATAAGAGGCCCTTGAAGACAGATTTTAGGGGGGAACGCGCAAACGAGCGGACGGACAGCCGAGTCCTGCAACGGGATCGAATTGGGAAAGGCGAGGGGTGCCTATTTGTTATGCAATCGGCGGGGCCCTGAGAGACAAGGTCTCGAAGAAAAGAAACGAAAAAATGGCGACTTGCGAGCACAAAAAGCTTGACTTTGAGGAGGCTTGCAAGGGGGCAAGGGAAAGACTGAAGGAAGAGAAACAAGAGAGCAAGACAAGAAAATCGTCCCTGGTTCTGGAAGAAGAAGAAGAAGAGGGAGGGAGAACAAGCGAGGAGGGAGTGGGTGAGGAGACGGGAGGGTAAAAGAAATGGAAGAAAGGGATAGGCCAGGTATCTTAGTCTTGTTAGGGGAGGGGTGGGTGTTGAGGTCGGGTCTGTTAGTGGACAGTCCAGGGTGAGGCGCGGCAATTAATAAAATAAAACCAAAAAAAAAAAAGGTTTTTTTTTCCCTCTGCTCTGGAAATTGGCCTCTCGCGCACGCCCAGTGGCTCTGGGCTTGGGTTTATTTCCAGGCTACTTTTGGAGTATGGATACGGGTGCTAGACGAGACCAACACCCAGAGCAACCCAGTTTTTAACACGAACAATTGGACGGTACAGTTGATTTTCGTGTTGGTAGTGGAGAGCATGTACCAATACCGCCGGGTCCCCAGCGAACACGAAGCTCGCCTGGACGCGTGTTCAGGGGTTGAAAAGATCCAGGGACGGACTTGAACGGGAGGCGACTCGTGGTTGGAAGTACCGTATACATTTCCGACTGATGCTATTCAGGGGTGCAACCACCACTGCGAACCTGAACCTTTTCCCGGGCTGGAGCCCCATTGTGATTGCCCTGACGAATCAATCCGCCCACGTTCGGAGATCGTCAGATAAGCAGAGCCGGTCTAGCTTGACACCGTGCGCTGACTGTACCCTCCCCTTCCCCTCCATATGGTATCCCCGAGTCCTGGGATGACGGGCTGGACGAGGATGGAATGCAGGCGGTTGATTAGGTGGCTTCGGTCATGGATGGAGAAACAACTGCGCCCCTGAGAGTGAGAGCGAGAGCCGTATTCCGTGCTTGAGTATCATGACCAACCGTGTGCAATCATGATTCTATCTGACACTCTAGATAGGAAGTTTCCCATCCTTTCTCGCCCCCTTTGTGATTCACCACCTGCATATTCGTACTCTGGTCCCTGGTCTGGCGTGTCATGATCTCTCGGCCGCCCCGCGCCGGCTCCGTCAGCCTTTCAGGGAGACGGATACGATACTAGATCTCAGGGACCTTGGCCCTTTCAGCTGTCGTAGATGGCGGGAGATCTAGATGCGATCATGCAAACAGCAAGCAGCCAGTGGCGTGCGATCGGGAAGGAAAAAGGCTTTTTTTTTTTTTTTTTTTTTTTTTTGAGAACCCGTTTCTGGCAGAGACAAGCAAGCCATCTATCTATTCAGTTCCTGGGTCGGAGGACGCACCACACACACCCAAGGTTTCTTACTGCATTCCCGTGATGGCCTCTCAAATGCCCGCCCACCATCCAAGGCCCGATGACAAGCGCCATCGCGCCCCGTCCCGTCTCCATTTCTCGCGTCAAAATGTAGCGAGGCGCGTTACATTCTTGAGCCTCTACCTGTTGGCATGGAGATGTCCTGATGGACGAAGCCAAGAGGTTATTGACTGGGGAATGTCTTGATGATCTCGGGCGAAAGGTTTCGCCATTATCCAAGTTGCTGGCATAAACAGATCAACATTGTTATTTACCTGTTGCGAAATGCTTCCGAAAGAGGTTCCTTATACTTTAACCCAGTAGATCTCTAACCCCCGTTCAGTATTCTTCATCTCACAAGCTCACAACTACATAACTATCAAAGTCTTGGCATTGTAAGATAAACAAGATCGAGTTCTGGCTTGCTCTTGGCAAGCATTGTCCACATCTCCGCAAACTAGAGCCTCCCATGCGCTCTCCATCTCTCCTCTGGACTTGGCTTTCAGTTAAGCACAGAGACGGGGCCTCTCCGGGACCCATTAAACATCATGAAGATGTCATGTATATCCGTGGAGCACCAACCGCCATGTACCGGTACATCTTAATAAAAGGGGTTTCTGTCAAGCTGGACTGGGGGGGCCTCTCCCTGCGTACCCCCGGCTAGAGGACAGCTGAAAGTACACCAGATGCCAAGTGACATTCATTCTGGCGTTCATCTGCCGCGCAGTCTGCAAGGAAGAGAGCATCAAATCCCTCCTGAAACATCAGCAGTCATCCTCCCGTCAAGCCGAGGACCAAAGTATTAGATGGTTGTGGTTCAGAGGCTCAAGGCTGAACCAAGGCTGGTGACCACTGCGAGGCTCGCCAGCCACATGCGGCTTTCATGCTTGCCAGAACTAGCGGCAGGACGATCCCGTTGCTGATCTGCTCTTCGGTTTCAGACTTGAAGCATCCGCTCTCCGTTAGAGGCCCCAGACATCCCAGCCTCGGGACGATGAGCCATGTTGACCCGTTGATATATCTGGGTCTGATGACGTTCGTTGGACGGCGGTGACGACGCTTCCTGCGTGTGCTCAAACCTCGTTGCTTTGCCCGTTGTCTCCCGTGTCTGTTTCAAGGTGGGTTCCATGAGCCGATGTCGCGGGAGCAAAAGCCGTGATCATCGCTCGACAACGGAGAAGAGAGCCAAAGAGAGAAATAGCAGGCGGCTGGCCACGTACAATGTGCAATGAGTGAATGAATATCCCACCACATGAGCCAACAAGGGGTTTGGTCCGAGTTAAGATTACAATTCTCCCTCGTCATCATGTAGCCCTCGTCTATCTCGGTCGTAGATGGTGATATTGAACGAACCGAGTGGCGCTGGACGGAGGCAGCGACTCGCTCGTCCAAGACTATTGGACAATGTCGGAGGAGGCTGAGTTGACTTGCTGCTGTAGGGCATATCTCCCTCCTTCCAACCTCCCCCCACCCATCCATCCATCCAACCAACGTGTTACCCCTGACCTGACCTGGCGTTGTATTGCTCTTGGTGCAGGAGAGGCAAGTTGAGGCTGACACTGTAAGCAGCTAGACAGACAGACAGGTGCCTGGCCGTTGTCCACCACGAGAAATCCGGTGCGAGGGAGGACACGGACTGTTCGAGTACGAAAAAGGCGGCCACGGCGAAGTCGTCTGAATTACTGATACGAGGTGTTTGCAATGCTCTAACTTCAAACCAAGATGAGACGGTGACACGAGCACGCTCTCTCGGCTAAGGCGATGAGCATGGGGAACTTCTGGACAGCCAAATTGGACAATGTGACAGAGAGGCGATTGGGAGTGGGCGCGACATGGATTGGCCAGCGAATTACGTTTGTGAGTGTGCTGTTAAGGCCACGTTCACAGCATGTTCTGCCATGGAAACCTGCAGCTCTAGCCTTGCCCTGCCAAAAGGTGGAATTACATCTCATCTTAGGAAATTGCGGCGAGTCTTGGTGCTAGTGGATCTTGACAGAGAAAGCAGCGGCTATCGAAGCTACCCGTCTTTTGTTTGGCTGTTGCGATTGTTTCCAGGGCTGCGTGATAAGGATGAGTGAGCAGATCAGCGATGGATGGCAAGCTGATTGTTTGCTCTCTGGTTCATTGGACAGGGAGGAGGTGCGTCACGTAAATTAACGTACGGGAGAGGGCAGCATCAGATTGAGAGTCCCCTAGGGATTCTAATATTGGGGACATTGTCTCGATGCATCTATTCGCGGAGAGACAAAGACAGGGACCAACCTGAACTTTCTGAAGGTCAAGGCGGGAAGCCACTAAAAGTAGCCAAGCTTCCCGTCCATCATCCCCGTCGACGGCGACACAGTGCCTGTTGCATCTATAGCGCATCGGGCCAGATTTCATGCACTAACAGAGGGCCCATCGACATGCTATTGCTTGGGACCAGACCAATTCCACTCATTGCTGCTGGAAATCAAGCTTACGCCAGAGAACGGGTGGCGGTGGGATGGGAGAGGGACAAGTTGATGTGTTACAGACGCTCCATGAGGAACCGTTGGAGATGGTGACGGGTTCGCAGTAAAGAGGGTTTGGTCCCACGAGGCCGTTTAGACCTGCATCTGTTACCTAGGTACGCAGTATCTATTACTATCACTATCTCCATCTCGTCCATTACTCGCCATCACTCAGTCCCTGATGAAGCGGTGCCAACTCTTGAGCCACCCACCCACTCACCAAAGACCCAGGGGTCGGGGTCCAATTATGGTGTGGGCCCCTTAACCCTCCCCTGGATTGGGGGGTGGAAAGGCTCCAAAATAATTTTAGCCCCGCCATCCAAAGTCGCCCATCCCATCCATGGTTGCGGCGGTCAGTCTCCTTTTCTGCCAGCCTCCACTCCTTGGTCTGCGATCACCATCAATAATATCTACAGCAACCACGGGACTCTGATCCTCTCGCTGTTCCTCCGTTGTCCTGTAAAGCTTCATCCTTCTTCCCAGTCGCTCGGTTCCTTGTCGGCGTCTGCGCATCTGTGTCTGCTTTTCAGCCTCGTCTTCAAAGTTTCTACTCCAAGAACTTTTTCAAAATCCCCCACCATGGCCGACGTGTGAGTTGCTTTTGCGCCCGCCCCTGCTTGAACCAACTTGATTGCCTGCATCTGCATGCTTGAGCAATTGCTTGCCACTATCCACGACAGCATACTGATATCTATTCTTCAACAGTAACGTTGATGTCCTCGTCATTGGCATGGGACCTACTGGTCTCGGTGCCGCCAAGCGTCTCAACCACATCGTATGCGCTCACCGCCAGCTCCTCCGTTCACGCTTCAACTCGACTGACCGCACCTACAGAACGGCCCTTCATGGCTGATTGTCGACTCCTCCAACAAGGCTGGTGGTCTTGCCGGCACTGATGTCACCCCCGAGGGTTTCGTAAGTTGAACCTGCGCCGTCGTCGACCTCGAAACACCGCTGACCGTCGAATCCTCCAGCTCTACGATGTCGGTGGCCATGTCATCTTCTCCCACTACAAGTACTTCGACGACTGCATCGACGAGGCCCTCCCCAAGGAGGATGACTGGTACACCCACCAGCGCATCTCCTACGTTCGCTACAAGGGTCTCTGGGTCCCCTACCCCTTCCAGAACAACATTTCCATGCTCCCCAAGGAGGACCAGGTCAAGTGCATTGACGGTATCATCGACTCTGCTCTTGAGTGCCGTGTTGCCAACACCAAGCCCAAGGACTTTGACGAGTGGATTGTGCGCATGATGGGTGAGGGTATTGCCAACATCTTCATGCGACCTTACAACTACAAGGTCTGGGCCGTTCCCACCACCAAGGTAAGCAAGGAGAACCTATCGCCGCACATCCTAGGACCTCGAAGCTAACAAAACTCTCAGATGCAATGCCAGTGGCTCGGTGAGCGTGTCGCTGCTCCTGACGCCAAGCTCGTCACCAAGAACGTCATCCTGGGCAAGGTCGCCGGTAACTGGGGTCCCAACGCTACCTTCCGATTCCCTGCCCGCGACGGTACCGGTGGTATCTGGACCGCCGTTGCTGAGACTATCCCTAAGGAGAAGAAGCGCTTCGGCAAGAGCGGTGAGGTCACCAAGGTCGATGCCAAGGGCAAGATCGTCCACTTCGCCGACGGTAGCACCATTGGCTACAACAAGCTCGTCAACACCATGGCCGTTGACCACCTTGCCGAGAAGATTGGCGATGAGGAGCTCATCAGCCTCACCAAGGGTCTCTACTACTCCACCACCCACGTCGTTGGTGTTGGTATCCGAGGTGAGCGCCCTGAGCGCATCGGTGACAAGTGCTGGCTGTACTTCCCCGAGGACAACTGCCCCTTCTACCGTGCCACCATCTTCTCCAACTACTCCCCCTACAACCAGCCTCAGGCTGATGCCAAGCTTCCCACTCTCTACCTCGCCAACGGCGAGCCTGCTGAGTCTGACGAGGCTAAGGAGGGTCCTTACTGGTCCATCATGCTGGAGGTTTCCCAGTCCACCATGAAGCCCGTCGATGTTGAGAACCTCCTCAAGGAGAGCATCCAGGGTCTCATCAACACTGAGATGATCAAGCCCGAGGACGAGATCGTCTCTACCTACCACCGCGCTTTCGACCACGGTTACCCCACCCCCACCCTCGAGCGTGAGGGCGTCCTCAAGCAGCTTCTCCCCAAGCTCGAGAGCATGGACATCCTGTCTCGTGGCCGATTCGGCAGCTGGCGATACGAGGTCGGCAACCAGGACCACTCGTTCATGCTCGGTGTTGAGGCTGTCGATGCCATCCACAGCGGTGCTGTCGAGTTGACCCTCAACTACCCCGACTTTGTCAACAGCCGCCAGAACACCGAGCGACGCCTCACTCAGAACTTTGTGTTCACCCCTCCCCAGGCCAACGGTACCAAGGATCTGCCCAGCCACAGCCGCTAAGGTCTCGGGCTCTGTAAATGGCGACCGTTTTTGTTCCGGGGGATGGAAGCAACTACGTGAGCAATCCAACATTGAACGCGTTTTGTGATTTTTTGAAGACATGTGCATAAGGAGACCATACCATCCAAGTGGGAAGCGACCTAGCATCTCAAGGCATGATGAATGAGGATTTAGGATTGATGATGGGAGAAAAGACGGCTGCTGGTGAGGGTTTCCCAGCTGGCATGGAATGAATACAGGGTTGCCGCAGGAGGGTGCGGACGGAGGTTCATGATAGAGGATAGAACATGATCCTTTCTCTTAGGATTAGACGAATGAACGGATTGTCCTATAAACATACATAATATTATACATTTTAAATAGACACCATTGCGTTTGTTTATTCGTTCTGTTTTCTATGTTCATCTTTTGGTGTTGTTGGCTCAGCTTGATTCCCCTGCTATCGGCGATCGGTGTCATTTTTGGCCGACCTGCCAGACATGATTCAAGATGGGTGGTGTCAACCTGCGGCGCGGAATGTTTTGGTGACATTCAATTTGTCTGCCACTTACATCATTAAGTAACAAGCGACCAGGGGATGTCTTGAATCAGTCATGACAGAAAAGCAGAAGCTGAAAGTGCAAAATTGACGGGCGTTTTCGTCTTACAGCTGAACATCCATTATCTAAAGGAACGTTTACAGCAAGTAGTCGCTTTTCAGCAAGCGCCAAGTCGAATTCGTCAAGGCGAGCTAAGATGTCTTGATCCAAGTACCTTACCTATCTTCAGCGGAGAAGGATGAAATAGAAGGGCTTTTTTTCGGTGCCCCCGTCGACGGGATAGCGGCGCCACAAGGGTCCGTCTTTCAGCTGAAATTTGACAATCTTTAGAGGGTTCAGCCAGAAGCCTGACTTTCCTACGGTGAAGGAAAGAGTTGGGGGGTTCTTCTGGTGCAGAGGCGCCTAGAGAAATTTTCTAGCTTTTGCGCCTTGAGCCAAAAGAGAAGGGATGGGCAAAGTCGATGGATCCAAGGCCCGGGCTCTTGCTCCGTATTATCGGTGCCCAAGCGGGAACAGCGGCAGTAGGCGAGAGAACAAGGCGAGGCGAGCGGCGGCAGTTTTTTTTTTTTTTTTTTTTTTGCAAGAGCTGGAGATGCAGCTGTACACGAGGAATTGTGATGGCCGGTAGTGATAGGGCAGGCTTGCATTTGAGGTTCATGATGGTGGTAAAGGTGGAGTCGGGGGGGAAGTAGCACGTGTGATGGTGGTCAGTCTAGAGGATGGTCCATGGAAGCACAGATAGAAGGCGTCAAGTGTCTCAGCGATGATGGGCTTGAACCAGAGCATCGGTAGGGTTGCTACGGTGGGAAAGGAGAAGAAGAGGGAGGTTGGAACGGTCTAACTCTGGTATGCTATAACAGCTTTGACATATTGCACCAGGGAGAGAATAACAAGGTTATTCGTCTCTTCTTTCTAGCAAGGTGAGATGAGGAGCCCGGCCCAAAAAACCAGCTGCCAAACCGGAAGCTACCCTTGTTGGCCTTGCATCCATCACCCACTTGGCAGGATCCTTGGACCCTGGGTATCATCTAGAAGTTCCACCATCCATTCACAACCACCCCAAGTTTTTCAAAAAGAACAAGAAACCCTTTCAGCTGAGACATCCCATCTCTCTCTGTCTCCCGTCCCTGTTTGCCCTCGTGAGCTTGGCTTGGCCTGACCTGGGAATACCCCCGTCAGAAACGGCCCGGACAGTCCGCTAATCTGCACCCAATCCGCCAATCCACCACCTGAAAACCACTTTGACCCATCACTTGCACTTCCACTTGCACTTGGGGGGGCGGGAATCCACCACCACAAAGTCCACTCGCTCGTAGTCTACATCCGCCATACTACAGTACAGTACAGTGCCTACCAGACCTGGGTAGCCAATCCACCTCTTCTCGGCGACTACCACCACCGTCGTCTTGTCTGTCTCAAGGTATCGCCGGTTGGCATTACATCTTGTCCTCTGCGGCATCAGCCACCACCTCAGCCCTCCGAACGTCGGCAGCCTCGACCTGCGGCTCCCCCTCACCGCGGCCCTATCGTCATCTTGGACTCTCCTCCATCGCCTCATCCTAGAGAGTCCCACCTCCCTCGTCTGATATATCCCGACCAAGGCGCAGATCCCGCAACATCCCAGATCCTACACTCGCACTACCTCCAGGAACATCTGAGGCTCGAGCTTCCCTCAGAACCTGTCATATCTGGATCCCGGCCCATCTAGTCAAACTCGACAACTACAAATCACCTACACCACCACCACCGCCGACCGATCTCCGAGGATGGGCGCTTCACATTCGCGTGGCTCAAACCTTTACTGAATGCGAATGCCCGCTTCCCGTTGTCTACCCGTCCTGTTGTCGACGTTGAGTGCCACGCCCGCGCAGTGCGCAGCTGTTCGCGCTCCATCATGGACGGCGTGTCCCTCGTCTCCGACGACCTCCTCGATCCGCCGCCTCGACTCTACGAGCGACTACGCCAAATAGCCGGTTATACATGGGACGATAACCAGTTGCCATTCCACTCTTCCTACGATTACTGGTAAGTGCGCTCTTGAGGCGCGCCTTACGAGTCGACGCCAGACTACCAGTCCTCGTGCCCTCGTCACAATCTTGATTTCTAACCCACCTCAGGCATGTCTTTGGAACCCGCTTCGTCTCTCCATTCTCCCCTCCCTCAAGCTCTCACAATGCCTCGAGTCCAGGATCCATCTTGAAGATCCATTCTGGCCGGCCATCGCCGTCGGAACCTTATCCCTCGGCCTCGAGCGACACCATCGATTTACCGGCAATCACACCCCCAGCCTCGGTACCCTCGAATGCGTCCAATGATGCTCCCTACGTCGAAGAGCAAGTCGTTGCTCGCATATCCTACCATGCCCTCCGAGAAGAGCGCGCCTTTCACATCGCCAAGAGTCTAACAGCAGACTCAGATCCGAATGGGCAACATATCGTGAAGCCACTCGACCTAATCAGGCTGAACCCTCTTCCAGGTGACCGCGCACCCGTCATCGTTGCCATCTATCAACACCCCGGCCACAATTATCTCCTCGAGGTCCTTGACATGGGCCCAGCCTACTACAGAGCCCGTACTGTAGGAGAGACATTTACCTCGCTTCGCAAAAACGAGCCCGAACTACACGACCCGATCTCCTTGCAGTACTTTCTCGATTTTGCCATCGGTGCAGCACAATGCCTCGAGCTTCTTCATCACGGTCTGGGTATGATTCATGGCGAAATTCGAGGCGATGCGTTTCACTTCAACGTTGAAGAGGGGCAGGTCAAAATACTATCATTTGGGTCCGGAATACGCTCATTTGAGAATGGCTTGACAAGTAGTGGGTGGTCGACTCTCTCCAAGGAACTAGGCGCTCGAAACAAGCTCCTCTACATTAGCCCCGAGCAAACAGGGCGAATGCCTGCAGAACCGGACAGCCGGACAGACATCTATTCCCTGGGCGTCTTGTTCTGGACGCTGCTGACCCAGAAACCGGTTTTCGACGGCGACAGCCCTCTTGACATTGTCCAGGGAGTTCTCGGGCGCAGGATACCCAATGTGTCGACTGTACGACTGGACATTCCCGACGTGGTTGGAAGAATTATTCAGAAATGCACAGCCAAGAATGTTACTGACCGTTACCATTCGGCGAGCGGGCTCCGTCACGATCTGGTCAAGGTTCAGGAGTTCCTAGGCGACGGGGATTGGTTGGCGCTTAAGGAGTGGAAGATTGGAACCAAGGATGTATCGTCCTTTTTCATGCTTCCTACTATCATGATCGGTCGCCAACGGGAACAGGCTGAGCTTGTCAAGGTCATTGACCGTGTTGCCAAGGCTCATTCCATGACTCTAAAGGGTGGCAGCAACCGCTTCTCTGACGGCTCAAGCTTGTCAAACGAGGTGGCTGCTTTTGACGACATCTCAAGCGAGGGAGCGAGCTCTATTGATGGTACCAACCGTCGAAGTGGTTCCTTTACTCATACAGCGTCCTCAGATCCTAAACTACCAAAGACCAACTTTCACCCGTTCTTCTCGGATACCCAGACGAATTCTGGCGATACCATCTCATCTTCGCCATCAGGCGCCTTCCCTCGGGCTGCCAAGCCGTGGGAGAGGCACCAATCCATCTCAATTGAGACTCGCAGTCTCGTGGATAGCACCGGGGCGGAATCACAGAATCGTCATAGCCTAGTAGAGTCAACCGCCTCGAGCCTTTCCAGGCAGCTGGGATCAGCCAAGTTCCGCCGTCGTGATCACTGCGAGGTTGTGGTAATCGAGGGTGCTGGAGGACTAGGGAAGAGCTGTCTTGTTCAGAGTGTCCTTGCAGAGGCCAGGAGACGGGGTTACTGCGCAACAGCCAAATTCGATACTGCAAGAAGGACAGCCTTTGGACCACTACTTAAGTTGTTATCGTCCCTGTTCAAGCAGGTCTGGGGCGAGAGAAATACAGAGACTCCTTTTCACCAGGGGCTCAAGCAGTTCGTCCGCCCTGTCTGGCCCATGCTGCACCGGCTACTAGGACTTCCCGAGTTCCTCCTTGGCCCTCCCGAGGTCAATCCTGGGCGGTCAATCTCCTCGTCTCAGCATCTTAACCTGAACAAGAGCAATGGGAAGGCTAGCCTGAAGCGCCGCGGCTCCTCTCCGGGATGTTCGCCTGGCCCTGTTGCGAGAAACCCTAGCATCGCTTCTCAGTCATCACAGGATTTTCTCCGAGCTGGGACATCTACCAAGACCATGCGATTGATGAACATTTTCCTGGACGTCCTTCGAGTGTTCACGGCACACAAGTTCATATGCTTCTGTTTGGATGACCTCCACTTTGCCGACGATGAGTCCCTGGAGCTCATTTCTCAAATCATTGCTTCGAGGATGAAGATGGTCATCATTGTCACATACCGAACAGAGGAATTCACATGGGAGAAGATCCAGAGCATCGTTCACCCCCCTGAGTCCGACGAGTTTCCCCGTTCTGGTGGCCCCTTGGTCACTCGGATCACCCTATCAGCTCTCTCTGAAGACGATATTGTTAAATACGTCTCGACAACGCTCTGTAGGCCTATGGAAGAAGTTCTCCCCCTCGCTCTCGTTCTGCAATCCAAGACAGCAGGCAATCCATTCTACATGCGAGAGATGCTGAGTGCCTGTTACCGAAAGCGGTGTATTTGGTACGACTACAGGGACAGCCAATGGCATTATGACCTCGACAGACTCTTCGAGCAATTTCAAGGAGAGAAGGATTACGACGTGCTCGACACGGGTTTCATTACGCACAGGTTGACCGAACTTCCGGCAGCAGCCCGGACCTTGCTCGCCTGGGCGGCTCTTATTGGCAACTCG